TATACAATTCCAGCCTCCCTCGTTTCCCTTTTATATACCTTACGTTTCACCATTTTCTTCGATAAATGCCTCCGTAGGTAATTAACCGACGAATATCAAACATGGTGGCCCAAAGACGATCTCCCTCTTTTCTGCCATTTTATTCCGTGTCATTTGTTACCCGCCATTTCCTAATGGGAAAATTAAATCAGTATATCAACGCATCGTACCGATTATTACCGGTATAATTGCTTTTAGAATTCTTTTAGAAGTAAGCGCGAAAAAATGCCTGCTATGCATTCGGAAATACCCGTGGATCAGTTGTTAGTTATGCATCGAACTACTTTGGAAAAACTGTCTCGTCATGGTTCACGTAAACTCGAGTTACGGTTGCATCAACCGACAACAGACCCGAATCGATTGCATCATTTTACCTTCTACACGGATCTAGGTAGGTATGCCGTGTAGGGAAAAGTAGTTTCGGCAAACCAATCGAACTTTGCCTTTTTCCTAGAACCGAGTTAATTTTATTCAGAGTTACGAGGAAATTAGATTGCTTCTTTGAACGCGAATCGGACCCGGAAGTAGTAAATGGAAGCCAATAAAGCAAAGTAAAAGGATAAAAGAGAACGTATCAATGAAAATATGAAGAATAATGATGAGAATTTAGAGATTCTATTCCAGAAGATGATTTTTATCATTGGTTCTTTACTTTTCCACTAAGGAGCCGATCGATTTTTTCTTCCTATCAGTTTCTCGTGAACGTTCGTTCTCGAAACTCACGTAACAGATCGGAAAATTGACACGGCTTCTCGTAGCGCGTCGACGGTCGTTGTCCCCCATGGTGAATAGTACGCGCCGGTAGCTTCATCTCCCTCGATAAATCAAAGCTGGATCGAAATCCCACTGATCCTTTGAAAATTCAAGATAGCTTCATATTTCTTCGACCGGTGGTATCGACCCTCCTTCCAACGAGGTTACGACAAAGCGGTGGTAACAATTTACAAACGGTACACGCGTCGCGTCGCACAACCTTGCCTTATCTCGTCTGCTTTTCTTTTTTTTTTTTTACTTTTTACCCTAATTTCGTCTCCTTTCCTTCTCCCTTTGTCTCCCCTTAATAGCTGTCCGTACAACACCACAGGCCACTTTCTCACCACCACTTTTTTCACACTTTTTCTCATCTACTTTTCGTCTACTTCGGAATTTTTCCTATTGTTTCAGTTGCATAACATCGAACTGTACCCGTACATCGACCAAGGACTGTTAACGACGAGGCGAGCTGATAGGTTTAATGTCTGTATCCGTGCCAGTCAGTGCATACGCTCCAACTAATTTTCTCACGCGGTCAGGCTGAACATCGGTTAGCCATCTTCTCGTACGAGCCGAATCAAATGGTTCACCGAACGATTAAACGAACCATCGAAAAATGATTCTTTACCTTTCTACGGTAAACGATTACTTTTCCTCTATCGAAGCCTCGTCTCCTCGAATCTTGATGCATTTGAAGTTCTTTAGAAGTTATCAACTGTATCGTTAATTTCCAAGTTTCTTTATTCTCCTCCTTCTCCTTTTGTTCATTTTCCTGTTACTTGCTTATTCTCCTTCCCAGTCCCCTCCTTATCCTCCTCCTTCGCCACCACCACCGCCTCCGCCACCTCCACCTCCGCCTCTGTCGCAGCCACTGCCACCGCCTCCGTCAACACCTTCACCTCTACTGCCACCTCCTTCTATTATAACTTTATCCTGGTTATCGTTTTTTCCTTCCCCTTTTTCTCTCGACTTTCAATTGGATGATCTCAACTGCCAATAATCTTTATTCCGATTATCAAACACCGACGAATCAATCCGACGTGTGTAACGAGATAAGATTACACTACGAATTCGTCCAAGTATTTTCACTGTTCGAATACGAATGATTTTTGCAACCGGTTGGTACGAAAACAGGGAAGGAACGAACCAGTGAATTCGATGAAGAAACACGATGTTGCGCATAGAAAAATAGAAAAATACGACACCGGCACTTATTTATATGGTTCGGCGCAAAGAGCAAATCATCGGTACAGGGTAACCAATCACGGTGTATACTGACTCGGGAGCAGACTCGTTGCGTAGGGCTACGAAGCACGCACTCGGTTTGTCATCCTTTTCTGTTACGACTGCCACTTAACGCGATGGACGGTTAAAAAGACCCTCCTGTACGAGTCAAGCGGCTACTCGAAACAACTACGATCAGCCTAGGTTCCTCACACACAACCGTTCGTTCCTATCCCCTTCCACCGATGCCTACTCTGTCCGTCCAGTGACGCCGCCGTCGCCGCCACCGCCGTCTCCTACCCCTTTCGCACTTTGCCGTTCCCATCGCTCGGTTCCTCATGGCCCTGCCCCTGGCCCCTACCCCCTGCCCGATGCCCCGTCCTCCCGATACGCGCCCCGTCGTCGTCCTCGTCCTCGTCCTCGCTATTACCCTACCGACTGTCGTACACCGTGAACCACGTCAGTAAACCGTCTGCCCACTCGCAATGAAAAGGTTACTTTATTTACCTGTACCGTAGGGATTATGCCACACACGATCTAATTCTTTATGGTAGATAAGTAATAAGTATTTCGTTCGACCGTGACCGACCGTCGAAGTTTCCCCAAATGGGAGAATGTCGGTTATACGGAATAAGAAAAAAGAGAAAACGAGCGGAAGACGGATATGCCCTTTTCCGACAAACGTATCACGACACGGTGCTATAAATAACTCTACGGGTTTCCTGAAAACGGAAAGTAGCTCGCCTTCGAGTTCTATAGAAAATTCTCAGAACATCTTTACAAATCGGTCGAAGGATTATGGATCCGATTTTCTTTTCATATTTTTCAGCCGACGACCGATGTTTATCCATCGTTCAACTTTTACGCAGGAATATCTCTGTTCAACGAACGTAATTAGCTAAAATAAAATACGCGACAATCTTAATAAAGGATCATCTCGACAAACGAGTCCGAACGCTGTTCGGACGTTCACGAGAGATTTAAAAGCGCGCAAATCAACATCTTTCCCCCGTGATACGTACATTATTATGCCGCTGTGTCAACGCGCAATTGATGTAAATTAAACGAACGATCAGAGAAAGCGAGAGAGCTCGATCCTTTTTTTCTTAAGCTAGCCGGTCGAATAGACAACTGGACGCATATTCTCTAACTTGCTTGTCGTTTATTCGTTTGTTAAACGACCGTCACACTTGCTCGTTGGTCAGCCGCTAACTTTGAAACGAAACGCGGCAACAAACGGCTAAACGACCGAATAAATTGTGCGGACAGTAGAATAAAAGACGGGGGAAGAAAGCTGAATGGCAAGCAGAGAAATGAACTCGCACATTTCATTCTCTTCCTGGATGACGCGATACATAATATAGTTTACTTGTTATTCGATAGAAATATATTAAAACGCAGCTTTGAAAATTCAGTTAACCTATTAAATAATCAAACTTAACTCGAAGTCACCCGACCCAACCCGATCCGACCGGCCCGACCCGACTCGACCCGATCCGCCCCGATCAGATCCGATCCGACCCGATTAAACGATTTCAACCTGTGCCGTTCGTTCTCTTGTCCCGTTTCCTTCGGTTTTGCCGCTTCATTTCCTAGTCACGACACGACACGACACGACACGACACGCGATACTCGACACTCAGATATACGACACTCGACACTCGACACTGGGTACCGAGGACGAACCTAGACTTTTAAAGACAATGCCAACTCTAGCGTGCAACAGTCTCCAAAATCAAAACTTTTCCTGCCGATCGAGATAGCGATATGTACAGAGTGTATAGGTGCTGTTAAGCGATATATCTCGATAGATGTGTACCTCGATACGGTCTTTCTTCAATATGACAGCAACAGCTCAACGAACAGAATCCTTCTGATCTGAGCGTCGCGGCGTTCCGCGTCTAATATAGGTACTTACCTCTCACGACGGGTGTTCCTCCTACTACTACCTCCTTGGTCCTAATTGCGAACAAGCAAAAATAGAGTCTGCAATTTTCTTCCTTGCAAATAACGAGTAGCTTACATCTTTATTGGCCCTTTTCTTTCACTTTTATTTTCTCTTTTTTTATCATCTTACGTGTTCGATTCGCTTTCATCTCTCATCACTTCACATGTATGTATTTTACCATCTATTTTTGGACGATACGTCGCCTCCATTTTTTCATTCGAATGGAATCGAATCGAGTCATATCGTTTCGAACGATTTCGATTTATCGGATCGAACATGGACGCGTAATCTAACCTTAAACAAACATGTCCCGTAACTCCCGTTACTCCCGAAAATGGAAGATTGCTGGGATGATTCTGAACAACTTTTTCCTTTACCAAAATGTTAGTTGAAGCTTCGTTTTTGAATTATTAACGAAAAACACTGGCCAATCAGAGCGCGAGTAGAGCGCGCGCTCAATCACGAGAGTGTTGGCTCTCAACCGCCCTCGATCGTGGTCGTGAACAAACGCATTGGCACAACGTGGGTATTGCAGGAAGCGTGCGGCAAATGTTACGTCGTTTTAAATTAACCCATTTGCTACCACGATATATATATATATATATATTTTTTTTTTATCACTTGCAATAGAATTATATTAAATAAAATGTTAAATAATTTGGCAGTTAATGGGTTAAGAATAATGTAGAATTACTCGTTATTCATGAATAACAAATAAACTAATAAGTCGTTTAATAACTGTGTTTGATATTTTTATTCATTATCCAAAAGGAATAAAGCGTTATGCACTTGGTCATTGTGCCGATCCTGAACTTTCAAAGCATCCCTCAATAGCTGATCAACAAGCAATCGAACGTGGTTGAAAGCCATCACTCTCGTGATCGAGCGCGCGCTCTGATTGGCCAGTGTTTTTCGTTAATAATTCAAAAACGAAGCTTCGACCAACATTTTGGTAAAGGAAAAAATTGTTCAGAGTCACCCCAGCAATCTCCCATTTCCGGGAGTAACGGGAGTTACAGGACACCCTGTATTGTAGGTACATGTATTTTGAATGTCAACCAAGGGAAAGAATGAGAAATTGTGGGCGTCGAGCGAGGGAACAAAACATAGTTGATCAACGACAATTTTAGGATACACGTGGAACGACGGCGACGAATAAGAAGCAGAAATTGCCTCGAGTACACGTGCCGTTGAATTTCACTGGAACCAGTGGGTGCCAAAGGGTCGCGGAGGAACGTAAGCCCACGTACTTACAATTGCTGGCTGTGCCACAATTTAGAGGATTTAGAAAAATTCGAAGAGGAATGATGGTAAAAAGGGTATCGAAGGAAAGACAAATAATTAATGTATTTTATTTTATTAAGAAAATACTTAATAACATAATCCATTGTGTTCTGGTTCTAGGGAAAAATTCGGAAGCATCTTTACGTCAGCGCTATCAGCGTCCTACATATTGACAGTTCGATATATCGAGAATCGAGGTTTCCTTTTGACGTATCTACACCGTTGGAGACTATTCGAGTTGGTTAACGGTAATGAAAATATGAATTAAGAATATAGGGAGACGATCGTGTACATGGCGACGCTGTGGCGCCAAGCGTTGCAACAAAACACTGACCTTCTTTCATCGACGGAAAAATAACCAAGTCTAAATTGAGCCAATTGATCGTCGAGGGGCGGAATCGACATTTCGTCAGTGCTGAACAAATTTCTTACAGCCATTCATTCCCTATTTCATCTTCTTTACTTTACTTCCTTCTTCCCTCTTTCTCCCTCGCTCTGTCTCTGTTCCACCGTTTTTTTTTTCCCAACTCCTTTCAATCGAGCCTAATGAGCCTCTATTATCAGCAACTATAAATTAAGTTGAAAAATACTAGCCAAATCAAGATGCCTCGCGACCTTCGACATGCGCAACGTACACCCCTTTTGTAAATTCACCGTCGAAAAGAATTTGGTCAGTACTATACTCAAAATATACAATTAACTCTAACTTTGACGTAGTTTCTCTATCCCCTGGGTGGTTCTTTTTTTTTTAGAGCACAGCAAATACATTATAAGGCTCGGTTGCCGAATGGCACATCTTACAAATGAAAAGCAATAGACACATGTACAGATAAATCAAAGATACATGCTTTATTATTTGAAAGATGAAAAGAAAAAAGGTTTTGATATACAGTAGTCCAACATCTATAGATTGTCATTATATTTATTTCTATAAAAAGAGTCTCCTATTTTATATGATTGCAACATGCAACTTTATCTTTCAGGTTTTTCATCCGAACAAGGATTTTAAGAAGCCTGTCCTATCTGTGACACCATCATCTTCCTTCTTGCTTCTAATCTCAGCATCTGTGTCCCTCTGCTTTATCACTGGTGGTACGAAAGTACTAATGCCATTTTCTGCCTGTTTCTTTCGTAGCTTTTTACTTCTGTCAACATTGTGAGCGAAGAAGTTTGCTTCTCTCTTTGCTTGAGCAATCTCAGCTCTAAGTTTCTGTTTACGTACTGCTCGTTCATAAGCTAAACGTTCGCTCAAGTGGATCCATTTGAACCTAATAAAGAAGTACGTTGTGAAAGTATTTTTACGGTATTTCGGGAAAGTGTAAACGTCGATTCTAATTGTTTACCTCGGAAGATATTTTATATTCCATATAACATCGTAAAATTTACTTTTCTTTTTGCTTGAAACCTGTGTATTGTTTAATGTCGCTGCAACATATTTTGCTATTTTTTTACTTTCAAATTCGACCCAACCCTCGGTAAAGGATTTCGTGCGAATCTTCTTTTTCTTTTTTATTTTGCCATTTTTTGCTAATTCTGAAAATAGAATGATTATAATGTACATAAATTTATTTAAAATATCAGTTATTTGAACAACTATGTTTCCTTACTATGTAAAATATATATATGAAACGTAGGTTAGGTTTTCTATAAATTCAAATCTTTCGCTTCACACGTGACAACTAACCATTCTCTGCTAACTGTAAATACATTCTTCCAACTTTTCCGTACAATGAAAATAATTCGCGAAGTTTCGCGATACTCATATGTTTAGGTATATTAGACAAATACACAATTCCCTTTTTTCGTTTTTTTACTTGCAACCTGTTTTCATCTTCTGTTATACTTTCCATGTTTTCAACGTTCTCCATTGTTTGACTTTCCATAAGCAACCCTGGTTTTTCTTTCTGTTTTCTCAATACTACATTCGTTTTTTAAAATAATTGAATAATATGTTTATACAAGTATCTAGCAGCAGTGACTACAGATGCGAAAGACTGAACATGCATTTGTTTTTGTGGAGTCAGGATTTATGGGGTTCCAGACACCCCCAAATGAAATGCTGCGTGCAGAGAGCACAGCCGGTATGATAATCGTGCCTGTTTTACCAGTTCCTCTTTTACCGCATCGCACATTTACATTTAAAAAGACCCAATTTTCACTCCCTTTGATTCTATTCTTTTTTTTTTTTTTTTAAAGTCAGTCAAAAGCAACTTTCAAAGGTAGAGATACAATGCGTTTCAAATTGCACTATGTTTAAATTGCCTATACCTACATGAAGCTAGCCGGAAGGAATAATAAAATATGATTATTTTTAATTTTTCTTGGTGTATTTCGTTTGTAAATTGCTTGTGATTTACAAATATATCATTTTCATTGTATGTGAGTGAATAATTTCTTAATTATCTACAAGTTTGTTTTATAATAAATAATTGTAGTGCGCATGCGCAAAACATACTCAGGACTCTTCCCAACAGAGAGCGTATCGGCGTGTTACATATAGCGGAAATCGTTTAAATTTCCTGTTTCATTCTTTTCATCCTTACATTCTTCTCATCCCTACATTCTTTTCATTCATACATTCTTTTCATCCATACATTCTTTCCATCCCTACATTCCATTCATCCCTACATTCATACATCGCTTCATCCCTTATATCCCTACATTCCTTACATCTCTTTATCCCTTACATCCCGACATTCCTTACATCTCTTCATCCCTTACATCTCTGCTGCTCTTACATTCCTACATTCCTCACATCTCTACATCCCTTACATCTCTGCATTCCTCACATCTCTACATCCCTTACATCTCTACATCCCTTACATCTCTGCATTCCTCACATTCCTGCCTTCTTTACATGCCTGAATCATTTACATCTTTGTATCACTTATATTCCTGCATTCCATACATCCCAGTACCTCCCTGAAATTGAGTTGAATTTTTTGCGGCTATAAGGGCTGCAAATTTATACAAATTTAGTTCCTCTTCTCGCCACCAGAGGGCACTGATTCGATGTCGAGATTTTAGTTCACATTTTTGCCGCCAGAGGGCCAAAAATTGAGCAAGGTTTAGTTCCTTTTTCCGAAACCAGATGGCGCTGATTCGACATCGAAATTTTAGTTCACATTTTTGCCGCCAGAGGGCCAAAAATTAAGCAAGGTTTAGTTCCTTTTTCCGAAACCAGATGGCGCTGATTCGACATCGAATTTTAGTTCGAATTTATGCCTCTAGGGGGCGCTATTTTTTCGAAATTTTCGCGAAATTCTCGAAAATAGAAACTAACTTACCGGTACTTACCTTTACTTACCTTTACTTACCTTTACTTACCTTTACTTACCTTTACCCGAAGCAGTCTTCATTCTATATTTATTATAAAGAATGTAGGGATGAAAGGAATGTAGGGGTGGAAAGAATGTAGGGATGAAATGAGTGTAGGGATGAAAAGAATGTAGGGATTTAAGGGATGAAGAGATGTAAGGAATGTAAGAATGAAAAGAATGTAGGGGTGAAAGGAATGTAGGGATGAAAAGAATATAGGGATGAAAAGAATGCAGGTATGTAAGGGATGCAGAGATGTAACGGAACGAGGGATGTAAAGGAATTCCGTAAGGCCGCTGCGCGCGGCCCGAGTAGTACTGGCATCGGGTGTGGCCCCCGATGTCGGTGGTTTGGCACATGGCGGAGGGTCAAAGGACCCTCCCTACCGCCCTAGTGGAGGCCATCGTGGTGGTTTTAGTGGGTAAAAATCCCACACTACCTGCGGCCCCTCCCCACGGGGGCTGAAGGTGTCTTTCTGAAGATTTCCACCACGTTAAAAAAAAAAAAAAAAAAAAATGGGGTATTTAAGCGTTGCAGGAATATAAGGCATGCAGGGATGTAAGGAATGCTGAAATGGAAGGAATGCAGGGATGTAAGGGATACTGAGATGGCCTCGGCCTATAATAAAGGATAAAATTATATAAATAACTGAAAAAAGTAAAACAAATTGGGTTCTCGTCTGAGATCCAGAAGAGGGATATAATCATAAATCTTATTCCCCTTCGAAGAGCTTATTTAATAAGCAAAAAAAAATAAATGAAGTAATTAAATAAACTCTGGAAAAAAAATATACTCGTTGTGCCCTCTTCATACGGACCTGATATCATATCGGGGTATTAAGAACCCCGAAACGCTGGTGACTGCCTTTACATACCAATAATATAGCATGCGGGGTGCCAGGGACCCCAAAGCACCGGCGATTATCTCAGCATACCGACATGATACCGTCTTGGGGTGTCAGGAACCCCGAAGCACCAATGGCAGTGTTTGCATACCGACATTTTGGCATCCGGGGTTTCAGGGACCCCGAAGCACCGATGACACTCTGCTTACCGACACTACGGCATTCGGGGTAGCTGAGACCCCAAAGTACCGGTGACGCTGCGTACTACTATTATGCCACCGGGGTGTCAGGGACCCCGACGAAAATAGCGAAATATAAGACCTAAAAACGACCAAATCGTGAAACTCACTTGTTCGGGATAGTGATGGGTTTGACCGGATCTAGCGAAATATAAGAACGGAAAACGAACAAATCGTGAAACTCACTTGTTCGGGATAGTGATGGGTTTGACCGGATCTAGCGAAATATAAGAACGGAAAACGAACAAATCGTGAAACTCACTTGTTCGGGATAGTGATGGGTTGGACCGGATCTAGCGAAATATAAGACCTAAAAACGAGCAAATCGTGAAACTCACTTGTTCGAGATAGTGATGGGTACGACTTGATTCAGTCGTGGGGTGTGTGGGACCCCGAAGCACCGTTTAGTTTCGCTGTATACTGACATTATGGCATTCGGGGTATCAGGAACCCCGGTAATTCTGCGCACAGACCTAATGTCCCTTGGGGCCTCAGGGACCCCGATGACTGCGTAACCTGTCATCTTGGGGTGTCAGGGACCCCGGCGACTCTTCGTATAGACCTAATATCGTCTTGGGGTGTCAAGAACCCCTGTGACTGCGCACCAACAAAATATCATTTGGGGTTATCAGGGACCCCAGTGACGCTATAGCGCTAGTGTGACGGAATTTCAGCAACTCAATCGGTAACGTGTCGAGTAGTTTGAGCCATTCGCGTATAGATGGCGCTTAGATCGAAAATGAGAGTAAACTTTTCTACCTTTTCGACGTCCAGAGACAGACTGATGCTCTTCAGCTCAAAGCGGATTATTTATAGCCGAATGCTTGATCAGTTTTAAAAAATATTTAACTTTGCTGTTTGTACACACGTAAATATTAATAGCTTATAAGCTTATTTAATAAACTAAGAATGTTTAATCATACTTACATTTGAAAAAAAAAAAACAATGTTGACGGTAATTCTCTAATGAGTAACGCTAGTAGAGAATGATAATAAAAATAACAAATAAAATAGTTATATCATTATACAGGGAATTGTTATTGTAACATATTGTTTAAAAATATATACAAAACTTAAGTGTAACGTTAATTGGTTTATATAAAACGAATACACAGTTAAGGACACGAGGTTAGGTAATTTACAAAAGCAGCACTGAATCGCGCGCAATAATTAGGATTTGTGTGCGATTAATAGGAATTACACAGTATTACCCTTTGATCGAAACATTTCACTCTTTTTGATACATCTCATCGATACAAGTGCGTTTCAATCGATATAAAGCTGCGTGTCAATCGAATACTTACAGCAACATGTTACAGAACATAAGTTGACCTTGCATACAATGAACATTGTAATTAATAGGTTTTCATTCTTTCGACAGGATTACTTTTCCTCATTCATAAGTATATCAAAGATACGTTTTCTTTTTTTCCATAACTTTGGCAAAAAGAAATTGAAGCAAGAGATGTAATATTTGGAAGTCGGAAGTCGATGAACAGGAAGATAATGTAAATGTAGTACTAGTAGATAGTAGCAGTAGTGATAATAATAACGGTAGCGGCAGCAGCAGCGGTTGTAATAATAACAATAGTAATGATAAAAATAATAATGATAGTACTAATTATAATAATAATGATCTTAGATCCAATGTGCAGCAACGTGCAAAGAACGTGTGACGCAACAAGACAGTATGTATTCGTATAAACTTAAATTGCTGAAGAAATGAAAAGCGAGAGATCCAATTTTTGGTTAGTTTTTTCCGATCTCGAATTCTAAATAAAAAAAAAAAAAAAAAAATATAAAGGATCGTTACATCGTCCTAACAGGTCGTATAATTGTACCTTAAACGATTTAACGGGTTTACGCGTCAAAGAATCTAACGATTACACTGTTGGTGTACAAACGTTTGTTTGTCCAATGAACGATTGCAAATGTAATTGTCTTATATTCACGAATAATTAAGATACACGGTGTACAAATCAGTGTCGCGCAAGCAAATGTACATACGTGCTCATTGAACAAATAAAAACGATCCTGATCGAGACTGGTCGTTCGTAGACCCTTGTAACTACTTATCCTATATACATTGGTGGTAGTAGACGTAACGAGGATTAACCGCGTATCACATCATTTCTTGATCTTTCGAAGGAATTTAAACAATATATTACAGAATTTTCGATAAAACTATGTACAGAAGTAGCGATAGGCGCGATGAACAACAAAGAGCGTTCTTTCTCCTCGCTTTGGTATTTACAAAGTGATCTCGCGCGTCGACAAGTCTTTTCTCCTATTTTTCTTCGGTATACTCCGATGGCGTGCGCATCGCGACCCAAAATGGTTGGAAAGCTTGTACGATGCGCTTGTCCAGGTGTCGACGAATAATCTTACAAAGAATAACGCCGGCTGGTACACGTGGAACGTGTAACAATTTCAATGTTTCGCAGAAGAATACACCTTTGTCTAATCGATGAAGAACAGCTAATCGCCCGACTCCGAAGGTCCCTGGCCCCATCGGGACTTAACTCTCGACGATTTAGTGGGACTGGAAGAAGACGCGGGGCTGTTTGCCTCGTCGCTAAGTTTTCGTTTAACGCTCATCACGATTCCACTCTTTGGAACGAACTTCGAGCGCGATCCCATCGACTTGGACCCGTTGTTATCCACGTTTGGGGGCGTGGATGGGAATGGAGGGAAGTCTTCGTCCTCGAGGCCGGGAGGTTTCGGTTGTTCCGGTGTTATGTTTCGTTTGAAAGGTTCTGAAAAGGGACTCTTGTACGAATTCCCCTCGCGTGGAGATATGGAAAGAGGATGAGGCACGGGAAGAGGAACGGGAAGAGGAAGAATGGGCGGAGGTGGAGGAAGCGACGATGGAAGAGGAGGAGGAGGTGAAGAGGTGTCTGGAATTAAACTGGAGATACCCGCAGTGGACACTGGCATCACAGTTGGCGAGGAACCACCCATGATCGTTGGAAGCGACGCGGTGGTTGTAGGTAAAGATGACTGGGAATTACTGTCCGATCCGCTGCTATCGGAGGTCGCTGCCGATGCCGCCGAGGCGGCAGCAACGGCCGCCAATTCTTCCTCCGCTTTTCTAATTAAGTCCAAGTCGCTCAACGAGCTTAGAGTGCTCTTACTTTCCTTCTCCTTTTCCCTCTCTTTCTCCTTTGAAACAGATTCCCGATGATTAGTCACATCGAACGGTGACTTCTCGTTGCTCGACTTGCTGGATGATCCACTGACGGAGATCTTCGAGGGAGACGGTGATGAATATTTCTCAGAGTTCTGATAAACCGACGAATTGACGGTGGTTAGAAATGTGGCACTGGGCTTAGACGGTAGGTATGGATCCACTTTCGAACTCTCCTGGCGTTTCACGTTCGCCAGAATTTCTTGCAGATTCGGTGGTATCGTTATGTTCGATACTTTCTCGAGAATCGGTTGCGTAAATTTCGAAATCCCCGATGGCGGAGGCGGCGTGAACGACCTTGTGTCGGAAGGGCTGTACGCTTCCTCGCCTTCGTCGCTGGTCACCGGCGGGTCCAGCCCTAAGCCCTGAAATCGACAACACAGATTAATTATATGAAATACGAATGCGAAAATTTCGTTGATAAACGCATCTAGTTTTCCTTTCCTTCACGACGATTCGAAAAGACCGAAAGAAAGCGACACTACGATTATTGCCTTCCTTTTTTTAATTTTAATTTCAAAGAACGTAAGAAACGAACGAATTAAGCGATACTCGTCGAAAGGAAAAGAAAATAACCCTCGATGGAAACGGAGCTACTGACAGATTCCTACTTTTTGCTACAGTTTCTGTCTTTTATAACCGAGAAAATGAAAACATTTTTTACAGAGAACAGAAAATCTCAGCGAAGTTGATGCGAAAAATAAGAATCCGAGCAGCTTGACAACAGGAATAGGATTTATCACCGATAAATAGAAATCAATTTTATTTACAACAGGACAATAGGAAAAACAATAACAATCGATCTTATAGAAAACAAATCTAGTGAAAATTCTCACCGGCAAAGTAGACGTTGATTCACCGAGAAACGACGAGCTAATGCTTTGTATTTGTTGCTTCTGTTCCTCGATCTGTCTATTTAGTTCCTCCATCTTTCGCTGGAGATCGTTGGAACTTTTACTTGACGAAATAATACTGTTATCGATTACCGTGGTCGTATCGATACCCATTGAGGCGGACATCGATATTGTTGCCGCCGCCGCCGATGTTCGTAGATCAAGATCTATCTCTTGTTCGTCCATTTGACCAGGGCTGTACGGCTCGTCACCGTCGTCGTCGAGGGGCGCTTTACCAGGCGAAGAGGTTAGGTCGATCTTCGACGACAATTCGGGAACGATTTTACATATGGCCGCGGTGTCTAGTAACGTGCTTCTGGACATTCCTATATGCGCTTTGTTCAAATTATCAAGAGTAGTTTGCGTGACAAGATGTTTCTCTTTCGCAGACTCGCTCGCACCGCACGTTTTCTGATATGTAACGGCCGCCGTGGTCGTAGCAGTAACTGCCCCGGCTATCATCGTCGCCGCGCAAGTTGAAGCCACGCTCGTCGACGTGGTCGGACACGTGACGGCGGAGGCCGCGTTACAGCTACCGGTCTTATCCTTCGAGACACTGATCAACGGTGGCGTGTAACTCCGATCGGTATCCTTCTTCGACAACTTCATCGGCACCGCCGACGGCGCGATACCCGCCAGACGTTTCCTCTTGTTACGAACAATGATACCTAAAAGGAGATGCGGCCTGTGTTCCTCGAAACCGGGACCGTTCAACGGCAATAGAACCGGCGGTATCGTGCTCTGACTGGAAAATGGCATTATATAAAAGTCTTTGATATTCTTCGATACGTTCCCAACTACCCCGAGTCGACTTCTGCTGTTTAGATAACTGTACAGAGTTATGTACGGTATCTTCTCCTCGTCGTTGGCTGCTGTAAGCCGGATTACCAAAATCTCCTTGGAACCGGTCTTCTTCATCTTCGAGATGTAATCCCAAACGGTTTCGTGGCTTATTCTACCGACGACGTCCACGGTGTCCGGGAGATCGTCCATCAGATCCTTAGCGTGCCCGCTCACTTCCTGAGCGGTGATGAAGAACTTGGCGACATCCACCATGTTCACGAAACCCCTCCAAACGGTTTGCCAACCACCTTTGGAAGGAGTCTCTCTTTCGACGGGACTCGGTTCTGGTTCCCTTTCTCTCTCGACCTCCTCGTTGATGTCCGGGGTTTTAATGGTGACCGTAGAAGTCGGTTCCCTGTCAGAGACGTCGGAATCGTTTCCATCGATGGTATTGGTCGTTGTCTCGTCTTCTATGTGACGCCAAAGGCGATCCTCGATAGGTTTCTCCGCCAAAGATGTCGTTGAACCTGATAAATCATCTTTCCTCTCCGTATCTCTCTTCCTTTCTTCCTCCCTTTTATCAAGGTCCTTTGATTCATACCCAACACGGTTCCTCGCATTGCCATCGCTGTTTCTATGGCGTTCTCTTTCCTTCTCCCTTTCTTTATCCTTCTGTTTACCTCTATCCTTGCCGGTTTTATCGCGGGTCTTAGATTTTTCCCTATCCCTTGTTCTGGAGCGTTCTCGACCTCTGTCTCGATCCCGTTCCTTGTCGCGATCCCTTTCGCGTTTACCATCTTTGTCTCTCGACTTTCTTTCCCGACTCTTTTCTCTGGTTTTACTCCGCTCTCTATCCTCCCTGCTGTGTTTGCGTCTACTCCTGCTGGTACTCCTCCCGCGTCTGTTTTTCGAACGACCATCTTTATCTCTCCCCCTTTCTTTTTCTCTATCCCTCTCCTTTTCCCTGCCTCTATCTTTCTCCTTCTCCTTCTCCTTGTCTTTATCTTTCCTCCTTTTATCATCGAAACCTTTCATCTTCTTGCCATCCTCCTTGAGCCTTGATCTTTCCTCCTCGGTCAATTTATCCAACTCTTTTTCAATGTCATCCACCGTCGAGCTTATACTATCGGCGCTGTTCAACGCTGTCACTATATCTTGCACAGGAGTTTTTGGATCAACCCGATCGATACCTCCGTCGTTTTCTATTATCTGTTCACCTTTGTGCGTTTTGACCACGATGGATTTAGCCTGAGCCATTAAATCTAATTCGTTCTTCTTGATCATCTCCAGCTGATGTTTCGTTTCTTTTTCACGCCACTCGGCCAATTCCTGGCTGGCCATCTCGTCGGGACTTAATCTTACCACCGCGTCCGGAGTTAAGGATCTATCAGCTATTTTTCTGAACAACGTCAAGTTCTTCGTGTCCTTTATATTGAACACGAGACTCCTGTACTTGGCCTTATATTTTGCTCCGGTGTCTTTGAAGTATTTATACATCTCCAGCTCGATGTTGTAAGCCAACTCAGCGATCTCCTCGTCGGTTAGTTTCAGATCATCCGTCTCCTTTATACGGCTAGATAATAATTCCGTCAATGTTTTTCGTATGTTCAATCTTATCGGTTCGGGTTCAGGCTTTCTAGGCGGGCTTGGTTTAACCTGTTGTTTTAATTGCAAATTCGGCTGCTTCACTTCAGGTTTCTTAACGATTGGCGTTTGCTTCGGAGATGGTATACTCGGCTGTTTGGCGTGCGTGGGAGTGAGCATCTTCGGCGTCGTAGTTTTAAACAACAGAGGACCTTTGTTTGGCTGAGTCAGTAAAGTTTGCTTCAATTGTACTGACTTTGTGTTTGATGGCTGTGTTAGCTGCTGTTGCTGCTGCTGTTGTTCTTGTTGCTGTTGATGGCCCCCAGAAATGACTGTGAATTTTTTGTTCCCTGCTGTTAATATCATTTGTTTCGAACCAGGCACTTTAGTGTACGTCATCCTTGGTAAATTTTGTCCCCTTCCAGCTGCTATCATGGTTGGTTTGCCCTTAAAGCACGTTTTTATCTTTTTCAGTTTGTAACATAAAATTAAACACAATCGTATGAAACAATAATTATACGAACAATCGAGCCAACATATTTATGTATTATACTTACCGGTCTACCAGGTGCCTGCGGTTGAATAGTCGTAATCGCTTTTCCTATTTGCAATGAACTTAGATTATTTGCTCCGACCACCTCGAACGTAGGGTTCTCTTTTAACCACGTACGTAAATTTGATCTCGTCGGAGCATCGGCTCCTGAAAAACAATATCAGCATTTGCGTGCATCTTCCTTCCCTCTGGTACAAATGATCATTTATAAGGAACGGCTAACACTCACCGGCTAACACTCTCCCCGTTTTCCTCTCAAAAACAATCACTCTAGCGTCGGCTTTCAACTTCGAAGCTGAATCGAACGGCGATGATCTGACACCTTTCGGACTCGCCGCTGGTCCTGCTACTGGCTTATCTTTGGTCAATGTTTCTTGGGCGTGCGCGAGTATGCACGCGTCGGAACAATAAATGCTAGAATTTCTTGCTTCTTTCTTACAAACGACGCACTGCATACCGCTGGAATATTTAACGCTATTGTAATCGACACCGGAAGCAATCAAAGACGTTTCTCCGCTAACGGACGACGTTTGACCAAGAGAGGCGAGACTTTTCGAAGGAACCGAATCATCGATCGCAGGATCCGATTGAATCCGCTGCTTTCCAGGGATACTTGGTACATTCGTTTTGTTCTTTACCTCCTCGCTTTTCTTTTTCGCGCAATTCGGGCAAACCCATTCAATCCCCTTTTCCTCCATTTGTTGTCCTTCGTTAGAAAAACATAAAAACCCAAACCAAATTATCATACCATCGCAGCTTAGTTACACAACATACGTACTGTTGTAAGTCTTACCCATGGCTTTGCTGACGTGCACACATTTCCCGTGGAACCAATCCTCGCATACGTCGCAACAAATCATGAAACGATTGTTATGAGGCCGCTTGCATATACACCACAGCCTGTCGGGATCGTCTTCCGAATCTGAATTGTCTTCCTCTTCTTCTTCCTCCTCCTCTTCATCATCGTCCTCGCCAATTTGCTTTCGTTTCTGTTCCTCGTCTATGTTCTCTACATCCTCCTCCTCCTCCTCGTTTGGAGCCTCCTCTTCTTCCTCCTCTTCTGCTCGTTCCTCCTCCTCCTCCTCCTCCTCCTCTGCTCTAACTTCATTCTCGTTTCTTCCACCTTGGTCTACGTTCGAATGAATTTCATTTTTTACAGATTGCGGCCTGGATTGTACAGTTATCAAACTGCAAAGTTACGAACAAACGTTAAACATACTTGATACAACGAATAATGCTTATCCGATTTGCTTTTATCATTTACCTAAACTTGTCCGTTCGTTTAACAGCCTCGTAGGTTTTCTGAACGGGTTCAGGTTTCGTTTGCAATCGTTTACTTCTAGTTGCCGGTGCCTCGATAGGGGGTAAAGTAATTACGCGTCCACCGCGAACGATCTGAATAGGCTCCTTCTCGTCTTTCAAAGTGGTTTTCCGTTTCGTTTCCCTAGCTACGGTTGCAACTGTTCCCGTTGCAGCGACGATCGTTGTTGCATTCGGCACGCTCGTTACAATTGCACTACTGTCTGACGATTTAACCTCGTTTTCCTCGGATGTAATCAGAGGAGAGATAAGGATATTATTCGAAGCCAATGCTTCGCTCGCTACCACGCCTCCCCCTTGTTCAACGAGCGTAGTCTACAGTATTATGAGAAATAAATAAATTAACAACGAATAGATATATAATTTTGTAGAATATTATAGAGATAAAACTGCGTACATTCTCAGCTAAATCAACTCCAAGTTCCTCTTGTAATAACAACGCTTCTGCAAGTAATTCTTCTTCGTGCTTACTTGCCTCCATTTCTAAGGTAGCTAATAAATGTTCCTCGCCTTCTATACTGCCTAAAACGTTTTTTAATATACATTAATATAAATACAACAATCGCAGGGAAGTTGAAAAGCAGTTTATTTTGCAATTACTTACTCGAATCCAAAGCTGGTTGTAACTCTTCTGTTACGTTAGGCTTTATAGCCGGCTTAGATTCGATTTCATTGTATTGCACCAAGGAATCACCGTTTTCTCGCTTTTCCACCGTTACAGGAGTTTCCGAATGCGTACCAACGCGTTCGGAAGGCGTCGAAGTAGTACCTATTTCCATAGCATATCAAATAATAATCTTGAATTCATAATAATCATAAAAATACGTATTCTCTTACGTACCTAATTGGCTCGACGACACCGGCGAAGTCAACGTCGATGATGGCGATTGCGTAAATTGTGGGATAGAACCTCCACTTCCGGAAGAAGCAACAACTGCGGGCGGTGTGGTTGAAATCAAAGACGTCACAACGTTTTCCTGAATTTTCGAATCGCCGCCGTTCGAACCGACGCGTCGAATAATATCCGGAGTGGAGAATAGCGCTGGGCCTAAAGCGTCTGCCGTATATCCTGGCGATTTGCGATTTTCTTTCTTCGGATGTTTTTTCGCGCCTGAAAAAGAGACTTGGTGAGAAACGTTCAATTATCGATATAAAATACACTACTATGTTTGTATCAACCAACCATCGAATACTTTGTTTTCCACTGGTTTTACAGACTCGACTTCCGTTTTGATAACAGCTTCCAAGCTTTCTGATTTCCTTTTCTCTTTTTTTACCTCGTAAGATTTTAGTTTTGGTACGGCACTGGGCGAAGTCACTTTTACCAACTGTTGCTGTTGTTGCTGCTGCTGCTGCTGCTGTGGTTGTATTTGTGATGTTTCGCTCTGTATGGCGTTAGGCTGTGGTGCCGGAGACACTTGTGGTATCGTTCCTTTTATTTGTGCAACTGGTACGTTCGACGTTATACTTTTAGTAGCTACAGGAATTTGAACTAACTTTCCATCTTTGGTCGCATAGAATTTCGTTCCGGCTTGGCTCAAAAATTTTCCCTTTGGAAGCATCATTTGCTTCTTTACGTCAAGATTTTTCAGATCATTAGACTTCATGAGCACTTGTTTCTGCACGAAAGTTACTTTCTGATTGCTTCTTCCCTGGCCAGGTTTCGTTAGAATCATGTCACCTTTGATCATGTTGGCGTTTATCAAATTCGCTTTAACTTGATTCGTAGTTTGTAACGGTTTATCGAAGTTCACCGAGATTTCCTCGTTCGCAGCCGAAGACGAGTCGACGCGTTGTAAATCTTCTTTCTTGCGTCCGATAGCCGATTTAAGTTGTCTTTTACCTTTAACAAGACCAAACCCTCCTAATGAAACGAAAGTATTGTATTAAATACGCTGTATTTAACAACAAAAGTTAAAGAACAGACAGTATTTATACCCTTCTATTATTTTACCTGACTTGTCATCTTTCTCAGGACTCTTCATAGCATTAACGGCAGCAGCCATTTCCATATCTAATCGACGAACTTGCTCCATGTCCATGTGTTTGTTTGGACCTCTTCTACGAGTTGCTGCCATGCTTCCTCCTCTAGTAGTAAGACCTTTCCTACCACCTCTAGCACGTATACCCCCTCTTCTAGGCCCTCGTGGACCGAAATCTGAGTCGTTATCAGACGGTGGTTCCGATTCGGATGACTCAGAGGATGAAGATTCTTCTTCGTTCTCATCGTTAGACTTGTCTTGTTCTAATTAAACGAAAAGAGAAGATAGTGATTATACCGATACTCTGTCCGCATATCAGTCTGATACAATTGATAAGAAAAAATATAGTTACGTTTTCCACTATTCGGATGAACTACGTTTGCTAAATTTCTCGACATCGGATGCCTGACTGATTTAGGTGTACTCGTTATACCAACGGAGGTTCTTATACTATTTGAAGCAGGTAAGGAAACCGACGTGGTATTCTTCCGGGGACGACCCACAGGTTTACCCTGATGAAACATGAATCAAATATATGTTGAATGTACATTGACTTAATCGAGCGTTTAAACGACACGGTGGTGCACTTACAGTTTTTACGGTAGTCTTCGGTTTTAACGCAACTGTATTCTCAACTTCGCCAACTGGCGAGGATGTTTTAGAGGTTCCAGGAACGGGCGAAAGTTGACGTACATATTGTTGCGAACCATCGTCAGAGGTAGGTGAATCGATAACAGGCAGCGGATCCTTTGGTTTTGGATCAGAAGGTGATAATCTACTCGTATAACAGTGATCCAATTTAATGCTATACCTTATAGAATTCTGTTGTTCTTCTACTGTTAACATATCTGTGAAATATAGTAACCAGATAAACAATTATCTAAATAAATTGAAATGGCATAGCGATTATACTATGTTTAGATAAAGTAAAGATAATTGTACCAAGCATTGCGGTAACATTCTCTCCAAGAATCTGTTTTGCTTCTTCGCTTTGTAAGGCTGTCTCTAATCTTTCTAATTGTTCTGGATCCATTTCCATGAAAGGATCAACCAAACTGCTCGCATCGGTCGTTGTAGTTCCAGAATTGATTGCAGGTGTAAATGGCGGAGGATCTACAGTCAATGTGATATCTCCAGTTTCTGCGTCTGACTCAGCCTGCCCTACCCTAACAACGCTAACATTTGCATTGGATTGATTCACTAGAAATCAATGAGAAAACGATTAACTGTGCTATACGCACGATACGCTAATCAATTGAATAACAAATAAAACTCACTGATTAAACTTTGTAAAGTTTCTTGATCCACAGATATTGTACCATCATCATTGACAATGATAATCAATGTATCGTCCTTTTTTTCTGATCCACACTCACGTGGTTCGATAACATACGAGCTAGACATTTTTCTTTAACCTAGGGGAAAAGGTCGTGGTGTTTGTTTTCAATCGGGCCGTCGTCGCGTCAAAGGTAAGGACTGTAACGTGCCCGTCTTCCGAGAAGAACGTGTACCGATGAAAGAAAGGTTATGAGTACCCTTAAAAGGGAACAGCGACGTTCGAATGGGCATCGAGAGTATCGGAACAAGTAGATAAAAGTTCTGTTTAATTAAGCACGTTCCTCGCTATATAAAAATCATGCTTCGTTCTTGTATAGTAGACGCCGGGAATTGTATCGATACATATCGAACACACCGAGTTTCGTGAGATCCATTCAAAATATTACGAGACACTAGAGAGAAAAATACGACGATGAAAGATAAAATACGTGTTATACAGTGTCGTGTCGTGTCGTGTCGTGCCGTGCCGTGCACGCTTGTCGCGTTATTACCTATTTTATGAATACAGGATTGCAATGTTTTCGAGATTACAAACAATGCGCGGATCATTAAAAATTCTGATACTAAATTTATATTAACCGACAGTAAAAAATTAAATACACAACACCTTTGATGCCACACTTTATGAGAAACATAACGTTCACGGTCAAGTAAACAGTACCGCCAAGAAAAGGAGGGTCGCCATTTTGTTTGAGTCAGCTAAGTAACGTTTCTCAAAAATCGTCGGTTATCCGTCGTTGTTTCGTTGTTTTAAAGTTATTCCACTATTGTATTACGATTACAAAATTGTTTTCTTATAATTTTCATGAAAATAATGTAACTCGCGAGATATTTGAACTTTTTTCAGCGATACATCGTGTTACGAATGCACTTGTGCCTTTCTGCACACACTGAGACGCTGCGCGCTTCTCGTTGCGCAACAGTAACAGTACGAAGAATGAAGAGCAAACCAGTAGCGCTGCAACGCGTGAACCGCACCGTATCGAGTTGTAATCAACGAAAAGGAAAATCCGTAATTCGGATGAAAGATTTATGTTAACCACTTTCTATTTACTAACTTTTAAGTAACTACTTTACTATTTACGTATTAAGTATGTGTGGAAAAATCCTATCTTTGTGATACTGCTTACATGACTGCGTATTGATATGCACACATACGTTTATATTATATATACATATATATACAATAGCTGTCGGTTATGTTTTACCGACTGTCGAAAAATCAATCGATAAAGGGGCAAGTAGTTTCCGCTGATTTTTATTATATGACGCCAGTAGCTTCCTTCGCAAAATCAATCGGTAACTGGTTTTTAAATAGACGCCATGGTCGAATTTGGGACCACTTTTTATGAGCGATCAGTTTTTATAAATAAAATATAATTAACGCTTATTAAATTAACTGAAACTCATCCCATTTCGATAATTTATATTTAGTTTATCTGGTCATTCGTTTCGTGTTAGTCTGTCTTCGGACACCGAAGAGGACTTCTTTTTGTTAATGAAATATTATTAGATTTAGAATAACATCATTTAATTTTATTTCAACTATTTAGGATAAAACATGAAATTGTGAATTTTTATTCATATAAAATACAACATATTCATAGCTCAATATTTACAAATCTTCAAATCTTTCAATATTTGTTTAATATCATTAACATATTGTAGAAAGCATCAATAAATGTAAATAATTGGAAAATTGTAATTTACAATTTATTAACATAGTAGCTGTTGAAATAATTCATAACTTCAAGACAGAAAAATTCTTAATACACGTTTAAGAAAAAGGTTTTATGTAACAACATAATTTTTTAGCGATAGTTGTTAAGTTTTCAAATACGAATATTTGAAAATTTTACTAGTATAAAACAAAAAAGAATGAATTGTAATTATTTTGGCATCTTTATTTTTATTTTAGTATTTCTATAACGTGTTTATATTTTATTATGTAAATATGTACAAATTGGTTGATGCACCATTGATATTTTCTACGAATGTTATATTTTTGGCTTTAATTACAACTCATAAAATAAAAGTAAAAAGTAAGATAGAACATTTCCACCTAAAATCATTATAAGAATATTATACGAAATTGTTTAATAGTTTTCTCGTTTAAAAGTTATGCATTGTTAATAAGAATAAAATAAATAAAAATATAACCTTGTATTACTATATCCAGTTTGTTTCGACCACCCTATACACAGTTGCATATTACATTTAATAAAGTATATTTATAATTATTCTTGACCAAAACCCTCTGTTTCCTCAATTGCGTAATTTAACTTTTCTACTAACTGGTCATAGCTTTTATATGGTGGCAAATCTAATCTATTGAAGCATGTATGTGATCTAGGTAACCACGTATCTTTTCCTACTTTTTCTATACAAAATCGTTGGGGACCATTACTCCCTAAAAGTTAATAAATATTATTCGGATTATAAAAAGTAATTATTTCATGTTTAATAATTAGTACATGATATTTACCCATTAATTCTGCAAATCCTCCAACAGGTACTCGGCAGGTACCTGTTACAAATTGTAGAAGCCGAGCTCGTTTTTCACTATCTGTTCTTGTTACAAACTAGGCGAAACATACAAATATAATAAATAACTATTATTTAATTGAATAATTTTTATAAAAGTAATAAACATATAGTAACGAACCTGCCAAAACCATAAAATTTGTTTGCTATTTCGTGTGTAATGCCTATAAATTGTATTACGTTGCCAGTCTTCTACATCTATTTCCTGCATACCGCAAAGCATCAATTCTAATTCACGTTCATCAAAATATTTTAACCATTCTAATGGTACAACTGAATTAAAGCCTTCCAAAAATGCTTTAGTTTGGTCCTCTATACCTCTTGTCATTCTCCATTCAGTCATCAACCTTGGGTAGTACAAAATAGTTAATAACTTACTTCTGAATCATAAAATATTCATGAATATTTATAATAATGGTACCTAATATATTCTTCTTTATTATCTTCGACGACCCTGATTTTATCACCGCCTTCTTTTAATTCATGATGTATTACTTGACCAAGAATTTCAAAATCAACACTATAATACAATTCAAGGCCACATTCATCAATATTATTCTCTTTTATCCACACAAGAGATTTGTAGAATTCGGGATCAATAGACTCTATATCTTTCATAATTAATTTCTTGTTTAACATACGTTTATAAAACGGCATAGTAAATCCACTGTAAATAAATCGTCCATGATACAGGGCCTGTAAACATTACTGTATTAGCGCAATGTTGAAAATAATAATAATCGGAAGTAAGAATCGCTATACCATTGCTATAAACCTCCCAATAAATTTAAAATACTGTAAGTGATCAGGATTGACATAAGATGCCGGATTGATTTGTAAACTGTAATTACTTTTATTAGCGTATTCAAACAGGCAGTACATCGGATTTAATACTTCATGGCTCAATAAGAAAAACCACTCTCTGAAATGAAAATGAAAATTCATTTACTTCACCATTTCTGTATCTTAGTAAAATAAAAGATTATTTTCTTACCTGGACACACCTCCATAATCCAATCCCTCTTCACCTTTAAATATTATGTATAATCTGCGTCTTAACGCAAAAGCTTCGGCATTCATTATTTGATGATAAGAATCTTCAAATAACGTTTGTCGATTAACGCTAATTTTCATATGGTTTGGCACTGCATTCGTTTGGCATAAAAAACGAAATTGCGATAACTTCCATCGGAATGACCTCTCGTATGCTCTTGGTACACGATAAATACCCTTTGGGCTAAATGGTAATAATATAATAAAAGCGAAGAAAATATTTAAAGGCAAATAAAAATATTATACAAACCCTTTAGGTGCACCAGGCCTTGGATCCTGAAACGTAGTTGTTCTTGTATTGTGATCCACAAAGTATCGAACTCCATCCTCGGTTAATCGAATTTCCCAACCATCCGGTAATGGCGGTTCGTCGATTCCGGTTTCTTGTCCTTGAGTTCTTGGATCTTCCCACTGGGTGGTACGATTTTTATGATTTACATAATAAACCCTTCCTTCTGGTTGTTTGCGTCTTTCCCAACCAGCAGGTAATGGTCCCAAAACATCATCATCGTCGACTGTAGATGTTGAGGGCCCTGGTATAGCTGCTGGATTTCCATAGCTCTATATATGTTAAATTAGATTGAGTGAAATGTAAATAAAAATATATTATACAGTGAAATAACTATTATAATATTTATTACTTACTTGAGAATAAAGGAACCGTTGGTTACCTTGTTGTACCACGTGTTGTCTTTCACCTTGCCAGTGTTGAAAATGTTGTAATCTTTCCGTGTTTGGTCTCTGCCACGTTGTACTTCGTGTATTATGATCTACATAGTAAATTCTACCCCTTGGATCGCGACGAACTTCCCATCCCGGTGGCAAAGGTTGAGGTCTTTCCCAGGAAGTACTTCGAGTATTATGGTCCACATAATATCTAATGGAAAATACATTATTAAGGGAAAAAATGTTATATACTTTTTGAGAATGTTAAGTTTCACAAATTTCTTCAATTAATATCACCTTCTTCCATAAATATCGTATCTCATTTCCCAGCCGGGAGGTAAAGGTTCTTCAGAGTGATTTGTATGGTCAACTTCGGCAAGTATTATTGAAGAGCCAGGCTGAGCTGGCTGACTAGGTATTACGTTATTAGTTTGTCCTGTTAACGAAGCAACACGTTGCATAATACGAGGATTGGAATGAGTAGCTGACGTAGAAGTTGCAGACTGATCAATGTGAGAAATTCGACGTGGTTCAGATGTGGGTAATGTTGCAGATTGGTCTAAACATACGATTTCGTGATTACCTGCCATGAGATACAACGTAGGTTGCTCTAAATTAGAACCATCTGGTACTGTAAATACCACTGATTGTTCTGTTTGAGAATTTCCTTGATTATCTGTTAAAACGGTACTTCTAGGTTGATCTATTCTAGAAAGTATACATTCATCTACTAGCGGAATAGTGGATTGATCTGATCTCATAGCTCCACAATTATCTGAAAGCGGCGTTACGGATTGTTCTATTCGTGAATTGCGTTCGGCAGAAGTAGACTGTTCTGTTCTATTATGTGAACAGATATCCATGTTGGTTGCAGCTATTTGATCTGATCTAGAAATTCCATGTGCTCCAGGGTGTACCGTTGTTTGTTCAATTTGTGGAATATTACGACCATCTGAGACAGAAATCTTTGAAAACTGTTCGGCACATGCACCGACCCTTCCTTCGGCTACACCGCTTGGTGTATGATCTATTCGAGATATCTGACGTCCGTCCGGTAGAGATACCGTGTAACGACCTGGTAAACTAACAGCTTTATCCATAGGTGATACTGCATGTCCATTTGATAATGAATTCGATGCTACGGGTTCAATTTGTTCATTATCCTTATTAACACTAGTTTGATCACTTCCACTATTATAGTTAGAATTTGTTAATCCATGATAATTAGACGATGAGACGTGTTTAACTCCGTGTAATCTCATACGAGCACGGATTCCTCCATTAAGAATGCTACTGTTACTAACAGTATCATTGTTTGTAACTCCTGAAATAAAATTATGCTTATATTTAATTAAGAAAGGTTTAATTCTTTTTATATTAAAAAGATTGTATGTTTAACTGAGATATCTTACCATCAAAAGACATATATTGTGTTTGAACTTGTGGTTCATTAATACCTAATGATGGTGTATTTGACATATTAATTCTTAAACCATCAAATACTGTAATCAATTCTCCGACCTTACATAGCTGAGAATCATGTTTATTTTCACTCATTAAATCAAAGATTACTTCCATATTTTCTAATTTTCCATTGTAATGAGATAACACTTGAGAGAGATTAATTTTTTTCTCTCCTATTAGCGTGTCTTTCCGAAATGTGCTATGATCCAATAAACGAAAGTGTAACTGAGAATATGGAGTCACAAGTACTGTAAATTCCTCATTCCATTTTGGATGATATGTGGACTTTGAAACTTCTGTTTTTCTAGGACTTTTATCATCAACAGAAAATTCTATGTAAGGATTAGGTTTTAAAAATGTTGAACTTCTTAATACAGCACCTTCAACTAAAGTAACAAAGCTTTATCATACAAGTTAAATACATATAACTAATGTATGTAGTGTAATTACTGTTATGTAAAACACTTTCTACAAATATATAAGTTATGACTTACTTGTAATACTTAGTTGGTGAAAACCAGATGATGCTACATCAACAGCTTCTTCAAAATGAGACATTGTATTCAATTTACTATAATCTAATATGATTTTTTAAAACTCATAATTCTTTTATTATTTATACACGATTTATATCTGAAATGTTTAAAAACAAAATTATGGAGTATTGACATTTTCAACATGAACACACAAATAAAAATGGAATAAATAATATGTAAAGTGAAACTGAAAAACAATTATAATGTTATTGTAATAACCCTAACATTATATCAATTACATTTGATAAGCGAATATTAGCATATTTCTGTACAAATTTTCAAAGTGTAAGATTATCTTTGAACTGCTTGCATGATAAATATAAAACACATTGTATGAAAAAAGTAGTAGTATATAATTTACAATAAATATGTACAGTATTGTGCAACGTAACGCATTACAATATAAATTTTATAATACAATAGATCAGATACATCACATTAAAAAAGTCACTACTTATAATAAGTTGTGATAAATGAACTCACAGTGAAATGCTTGGGGGTTGATCAAATTAGTTATAATACGTGGGAATGTATTTGTACACTGTTTCGAGTATATCCAACTCCAGTGCATTGCTTGTTCTTTATATTCTTAATATTTTGAAAAAAAGTCCTTTAAACACTCACAATTTTTATTATCATTAAATTTCTTTATCAGTAGGTCACCATCTTTTGGTACGTCAAAGGTAGGAATCTTTTGTAATATGCAAATCACTAGAGCCACACGAGATACAGTGCTATTGGAAATGCGCGCGCATTTATATACGGATATTAAAGTGTTTTAAATTCCTATTCCAACTTTACTAATATCATAATTTCGTATAAAAAACGTATATGATTTCTTAATGATAAAATATAATGTTTCCCATGTAATCATTTATCATTGTAATAAATATTTTATCCTTCACATTCTGTTTCCCTGCAGATACTCACAACTGTAAATAACTATGAATGAACATTCGAAATTGAAAATGGAACATCTAGGAATTTTGTTTCTAAGTTTAATAACATTTTTAATACTACAGTGAACAAAACATTATAACAACATTTAATAATTTCTATATGCATATTGTTCATAAAATCATTAGTTATTGAAAGTATAATTAATGTAAGTTACGTAATTTTATATTTTTTGTTAGCATTAATATATTAGCAATAACATATTAAGAGGTTATAAAATGTTTTGAACACCTATACAGTATTATTGAATATTATATACATTTTTGCAGATAAATTATAATGAAGTTTACACAAGTATTATATAAAATACATATAGGAAAAGCAGTAAGATATCTATGGCAACATCAACGAGAAAGACCTATAATTTACAATCCTGTTCACAAAGTATTGGGTTCTATGGGTATTACAGTAGAAGATGCTTTAAAAATAGTAACACCACCAAAGTATACTCCCTATGTAATTGAAATGTAATTTTGGTGTTATTGAGTAGATATTTTTTATTATAATATAAATGCTTATGTGTATCATATAAACTTAGCACCTTTCTAATTATACTAGAGATACAATTTCAAACACAGTTAAAAACTGGGAGGATAAAAAATGTGTAGTATTCGAAGATCATAATGTTTTACAAGAAGGTATATCACAAGCATGTTTGCTGACAAATACATTACAAATTGATGATCAATTACCACAGAAAGTGAAGGAATTAATTACAGACATTCCAGCTGATGTAAATAATTCTGTGAAGAGGTATATTAATAATATCATGCAATCATAGCATATATTACTTTTCTATTAAACATTCTGTATTTTAAACATATAGTTGTTATTTTATTCTGTTTTAGAATTGTTTGTACATCCACTATATATGATCCTGAACAAGTAAAATTACCAATAATAAAGGATCCTGAAAGACCTGCTTGGGTGTTTCCTAGAAGATATGGTATATCTAGCACAAGAAAAATGTAAGTATAAATCATTAATCATGTACACTTACTGTCTTTAAATTTATACCTTTATTTTAAATAAAAAATATATTGTAGGCATAATTTGTCCAAGAAATTTTTACAGCTTTGTGAATCATTAAATGGACTAAATATTGCACAATACCGTTCTATAGTACATAATGGACTCTGTTGTGTGGGCATAGGTATACCATCTTTATCTACTTCCAGAATCTGAAATAGTTTAACAAATGTAAATTTTATTTATATTTTAGATAGGGAACGTGATTTTATCCAATTCTCTTTAAAAATGGATTTGATGATGACATCTACAATACCTTTATCACCAGTAGCAGATGTAAATACTCATCCTGAACTTCATATGCCTGATCTTTATCCATTACATCATTGTATTGGTTTACGAAAATCAGACATTTGTAAATACGAGATGTTCCGTAAGTTCAAGTTTAATATTATGTGTTTTAACATCTTATTTTTCATATTTAACTTACTATATTTTACAGCAATCAATATAAAATCACCAATAGTCACCAATATACATACTATTTTTATAAACTATGATCCAGAAGAAGTTAAAAATTTAACCGAATTACCAGTTACTGAAGACCAAATTTATGCACGTTCGTTGATGAAATCATTCACTGCAGCGGCTGGTTTTGCTCGCCAAAAGTTTGGAACAGAAGTAAAAGAATTGCCAGAACCTGTCGTTGTACAGTGTGTTCAGTCAGATGGACAAAAGTTTCACTTTTCCGTGTACCAACTTAATACTTTAGATTTGGATAATGAAAATATCAGGAATTTCTGGTGGTCAGAGCCATTCATAAATCTGTACGAATTAGCTGATTATGAAGATGCACGACCTTGTCTACAAGGTTATAACAATGCAGTTTTTAAAAGATTCCTTGCATTTTATCAAAATAAGTAAATAGTTATATCGACTGAGCAAATTTCAATAAAAAGTATTCCTTTGTTTAACGGTGTTCTATTTTTATAATTGTAAAAATATTTCCTTATGATATTTATTTATACATGTGTGTAATTTGTTATAGATGAAATATAATTTATATAATGGTTAGTAACTTTTTAAAAAGCGTAGTAGCTTGTACATTTACATTGACCTCTTTTTGTTTTATTTGATTACGGTGATTAGCTGACGGTTTTATGATATTTTCTAGAGAAACATAAGGTTTAACATGAAAATACACGTGATTCAATGCCTAAAATAAATAATGTTTTCAGTATCACTTTATGGAAGCTCCTAATGTCGTAGGAGAGAAATTATTTCACTTACTTCACTAGCAGTTAAACGTTTTGATGAATTATAAATAAGAATTTTACTAATAAGATCAATAGCTTCTGGTTCAGCATCTTCTATAATATTTTCCCATGTTACCCCTTTATGATATGGAAATGTAATTTTATTATAGTCAGGCAATAAATTTAATTCTGGCCATGTTTCTGATGTAGGTGATCCTAGATGCCTTAAAACTATTGCCAGTTGTTCAATATCTGTTTCTCCCTAGAAATTTAGTATCTGTTATTTTCTGTTACAAGTAGTATATAAAAAATATAAATTCCATCTTACTGGAAATAATGGTGACTTGTTAAGCAATTCACCAAAAATGCAACCAACAGACCACATATCAATTGCAGATGTATAATATCTAGCTCCATATAATAATTCAGGTGCTCTATACCATCTAGTAGCAATTTGATGAGAATAAGGTTTTGATTCATTTTTCCATGCTAGCCTTCCTAAACCAAAATCAGCAATTTTCAGAATACCTTCTTCATTTATTAATAAATTAGCTGGCTTCAAATCCTGAAAATGTTTCACTATTATGCTATGTTTTCTAATTGCTTTTTATTGCTATTGAATTAACATTAATATACCCTATGTATTATATCTTTGCCATGTATATAGGCAATACCCTCCAAAATCATTTTTGTATAAGTTTTTACTTGAGTTGAAGTCAATGATATTTCATTGTCTCTTATTATCTCCCATAAACCTGTTGGCATGTACTCAAAAACCATTACAAACTCTAATCCAGTAGGAAAAGCATTCAATAATTCTATAACCTGTATAAAATAACAAATATTTGAATACAATCTGTAATTTTTTTGTTACATATTTATGTTAATAGTTATAACGTGTAATTAGTTGTGCAAACATACATTAACATGTTTTAATTGCTGCAAAATTTTTATTTCTCTGATAATAGAGGTTGATATACCATTTTCAATATTTTTTAAAAATAACTTCTTTAATGCTACATTATTTTCTGTTTCTGTATCGTATGCTTTCAAAACTACACCCTGTGCTCCTTCTCCAATTTTTCCAGTAATTACGTATCTGTCCATAATTATGATTGAACTCCTATCATTCAATATTTCTTTTGTTTTACATTCCAAGGGTAGTTACAACCCTTTTACCATTTTCGTGTCATATTCTGCTATACCAACTACGACTAGTATTCTATTACAGCGCTTTTGGTAGTCGCGATCTGAAATATCGACGTTGCTCAAAATCTCATTTCGGAGCTGTTTTGTTGGGATCAGAAGGGGCTGATAATTAAACAAAGTTTAATCTGCAAGAAATGGAAAGAGAAAATTTTAATTAGTAATTTTTCAATAATATATTTGGGATTTGAAACCCGATATTAATTCAAACATCAGGTGCTCAATTCCCATAGATAGAACCACACGTTCTACCCACAACGAAAATCATTATGTTCCTTTTAGGTACCAAGGAACAAAATCCAATAAAATGTTTAAAAATCTAATTTCTAATACATCACATCGTGTGTTCATGTATTAGGCAATACTCTGTATCATATCCATATTAATTTTTGAACGCAAGGGAAGCACACGTAACGCTTTCATTCTCGTTACTTAATATACCGGAAGGAGTTCTATTTTGAAACGAGAAACATACGCCACACTGTGCTGGAATTCAGTATCATGTTTCTTCGGATATAAACACCAAATGACCTATTATAATATTACAAAGACACATTTCCATAATTTAGTGACGGATCCAGAGGGAGAGCGATTAAGGTGATCGCCCCAAGAGTTCCTTCTTTATTTTATTAAATTAATGTATTTCGTGATCCATATTAGTACATGTGTATTACACGAGAAATTGATTAAAGACTGCTAGTAAATTTGACAACACTCATTTTTAAAATGTATTGGATATTTTACAAATTGAATTGTAAATTTATAATTTTTTACTTTAAGGGAGCAAACCATCTCGAACCAACTTGGAAAAACAGCTGGCCAGGTCCTTAACACTTTGAAGATAAAATTTTACGAACTGACGAATTCTTTATTTTATTTATTTAAATAATTTCTTGTGAATCTATTTTATACAGCATTCATAGACCTTGTGAAACATGCGGTCATCAAAGTGTTAAGGAAAAGAGATGAACAACAAAAGGGTGAAAGACAATTTGATAATCCAATGGATAAAGTTGAAAATGCAAGGATCAAGAAATTAATTTCTCAATTATGTGTGTCTATGTGTATGCATCTCGTGTAGGGGTGGGATATACATAGATATAAATGTAGATATATTTGTTTCTCTTACAATCAATAAGTAACATTTTTCCCGGAATTTTGGTGAAACTTTTACAGATGTACATAATTAAGAATATACTTTCAGTGTGCAACCGATGGTAAACTAGCAACATGCCCCTTAACAAATATCTATTCATCTAAGTATAAGCGCTTTATTATTATCAGTCGCAACTCGACACAATTTTCCACAATGAGCCCATCGTTATTATTCTAACACATCCATAAAAGGTGACCATCCCCCAATCGTACAATTTCAATTTCTTTTGTCAAAAAAAATTTTGATTATACGTAAGGCGTTTCTCTTCCTAACAAATATCCGCCTTTAGCTAAAAATTCTTTATTGCATTTCTTTTCTATTTTCTTTTTGGTATCTTAGAACCTCGAGCATCTCGAGTATTTTACTTGCTTTTTTCTGAAAATTAAAATTAAAGCTTCAAACATTGGTAACGAAATCAATTTTACTAATTCTAGAGAAAAGATTCATAGAAATGAATTAATTATAAATTATTTATTAGTGCTGGAATCCATTTCTTAATACAGCTATTTCATATTATAAGTACATCTCAATCCTCTACAATCCTATGTGCTCTCTGTGTATTTTATACGGTACATATCTCTCACGATATGTTCAGAATAAAAATATATTTTTCAATCAATTAATTCTCTAAAAAAAAAAAAGAAAAAAGATTGAAACAATTGTAGAGGGTTAATGAGACGCATCATTACGTTATATGTATATAACAATATGCGAATCACAACACATTGCATATACATTATAGAGAAATTGAAATACTCAATAGTTGTATTGTGCAAGGTGTAAACTTTTATTGTACACGAAGGCTGGATGTCACTACTACGAAATCCAGAAAATGGTCACCTCGGTATTACGAATTTTTTTACTTTTTCTTTTTCTTTTTTTCCTTTTCATATAGGTACATACGATATTTCACAATATCATCCTCGCTCTCTCGCTCTCACTCTCATTGTATTTTTATTTTATTTTCTTTATTTTTACGGTGTTTCCTCTTTCGCGCGTTCTCTCTCACGCTCTTTTTTTTTTTTTTTTTTTAAATATTGTAATTTAGAAAATTTTTACTCGTATTAATAAATTGAAACTTATTAGATTTGCCACGTCAAACACGCGCAGGCAAAGCGCCAGGCACTTGTAGATATAAGGAAGATTTACACAATCGTTTATCATTACACGGTGGGATGTCGAATTTGATTGAAACAGAGCGATCTGTAGGACGGACGACGTTATTCCAATAACATAATGATTTTAAATAATTTTTTAGATATAAACATCGTGTACTTAGCAATCGCATGGTACATTACTCTCTTCGATATTATAACAAATTAATTGATAATCTTTCATTTAAACACTGATAAATGATATAAGTACGAGCAATATTGCGCTTAAAAAAATTATTCTAAAATAAAGATAGATAAAGGCAGTGCACCTAAAAGCCTCCTAAGAAATACATAAAGGATTATAAATCACCTGACGCTATGTACACGATACAGAAATAAAAGAGTAACTTCCAATTAAAAATATTAAATCGCTAATGCTATTAAAAATCTGATATTTTGTAATTTTACAATGATAAAGTCGTCCGATAGATATCCTACAAACGGCAATCCTGTTTAATCGCAACTAAAAACTTTTCTTTTCCGAATCGACAAACTTGCATAAACCTTTCCTTACAATAATTAAGGTGCTCGAGCTCGCTGATACATAAAGGATTCTTAGTTTGTTTTTTTTTTTTTTTTGTTTTGTTTAAAGAGAGCTCGCACGTTAATATACAGCAACACAAATAAGAAAAGTGTTCAAACATCCTTTCTGAGATCACTGACGAAGAAGCGCGTGTAAACAAGAAATCAGATTCACGCTCGACAAGAAATTACACGTAATTATTATTCTTACCCTATTAAAAAACGTTACCTTTATAGTTGGCTCATTATTATCATCATTAATGATCATCGTTAATCAATGTCCCCTTAATATTTGTTTTTCTTTCATCATCAAATATGCTTATTCGTGCGGTATTCATTGGTAGGTACACGGACACAATCGCATTTAGAAACGGAAATTAACTAGACAAATCCTAACAGCTACGATATTACTATTATTTTTTTTTCCCCCTTTTTATATCATAAAGAAGCTTGGATATTAATAAGATTCCTTGGGAACGCCATCACTGATCATCGTTTCGAGGTTCTTCTTAAAGCTGACATTTTTTTTTTTCACATCTATTCTTTTTTTTTCTTTTCTTTTCTTTTTCTTAAGCGCTTTTCATACACATTTTTTCTTGTTTCCTTTCTTTTAGTGCTTCGAACTTACATAATAACACTATATAGAAGAATTCTTGACGTTTTCGCAAAACGAATTTCAGTTTTCTTTTCTTTCGGTACCATCAGCGAGAGAAGAAATGAAAACGAAAGAAGAGAACGGTTTAATGGTTGAAGTCTCGTAGGAAAAGCAAATACAAACAGTTTGTAAAAATATTGTAAAATTTCTTTCCCCGTTTACTATATGAAGCTTATGCTCGATTAGTGTAAAAATCATGGTTTCTCGTTTGTAATTAATTTGCCTTTCCTAGAAATCGACCAGTATCCGTTTAACATTCGCATTATTCTTTTTCCTTAAGCCTAAGTAGAACATTCCGAAAATCATAAATCGCAACGTCAAGGTCTTTGGTGGCGCTTTTATAAACGCTAAAAAAAAAAAAAAAGAAAAAAAAAAGAAAGGAAGAAAAGAAAGAGGAGCGTCCCACTTTCCCTACATTAATTTTGTGCAGAGATGGTATTACAATGGAATCGATTGATAAATCTTAATACTGTGAAATAATTTAATAGACATTTAATTCGCTTCAATAATTAATTAGTCGTTTATCGAAATCGATTCATTTTTTTCTTTTTTTTGCTTTTAAATCCTTTACGCTAAAATCTATGAACGCCACTTAAAAACACTGACGAACTATGATTTCTTGGGAATATTAGACAACTTTTTACAGATAATGACAGCTTACTAATTACCGAGAAAAATCGATCACTTGTAAAGTACAATTGATTTGATGATTTAACTTGTAAAGCTCATCGAAATACAAGGATTCTTATCTTGTCACCTTATTCATGGAAATGTATAATTCATACATGCCTTCCCTTTGCACGTAAATTTAATCTTTTTGTTTGTTAATATATAAATATAGATTATTTGTCTTATTTTTTAAAACGTCTTGGCTCGTGGTAGGAAGTAAACTCTACTTTTTTTTTTTTTTGTCCGTTTATATCCATAGACTCGGTTACTTTTTATTACACACTAAGTAATATTCATTTCGTTAAACCCGTTTTAATCGAGAAACTTTGAATTGCCTCGTTAAGTTTCCTTTCTTTTTCTTTCAAACGTATCCTAGGTACATGTTTTTATTATGCGTTGTTAGATTCAAGAAGAAAAAAAAGAAAGAGAAACTCAATCGTCTAACGATCCTTTCTGTTTCTTATAGTTTGAAATTTGTTGCACCAGATTGAAAAGAAAAAAGAAACGAATAAAACAACGTACAAATTAATCTTACTTGATCGCGTCAAAATAAAAATTACAAAAGTTTGTTTTAAAAGCATTCCATCTATTGCCCACTCGACCATCGTCGATCACTAAATGGTAAAATGATTTATGAACGAGTTATTGAGGTAATATTTACAAATGGATCCTAGTTTTTTTTTTTTTGATCGGGCGTAAGAAAATATCAAGTATATCGTCGCAGACCTCTACGAAATACATAATGTTTCGTTACAAAGGACTGCCTTTTAGTTTAGGACTTAGAGAAAGATGGAATGAAACTATATTATATATGTATATAGAATGAAACAAAAAATGATTTTTCGCTTCATTTTTTTTCGACATCTCGATTCCTCTGATGTCCTTTTTCTTTTTCTTTTCTCTCAGTTTTGGTATTTACTTGCGCACCGATTATATGTACACTACAGTTGTTTGCAGTATTTTTTTTTTTTTTTTTAGATTTACTTAAAATCTAATAGATCTGTATGGCCTCATTACGATTCAATATTGATTCGTAATTTTTTCACTTCTATACTTCTTACACGTCCGTCATTTTGGTTCCATTACACCCTTAACAACACGAATAATAAATTCTTTTTTTTTTTTTATGTTTGTTGTATCCTCTCTCATTGCTCAAAGATTCATAGCTTCATCTCTCTTACTTTAACTACACCGTCGTCATTCGCTAATTTGCGTTTATTTATCCGCTGCCCTCGATCATTTTTGTAATTGATTCAATTACAGAAATCTATCTTAACGAACGTCACAAAATTACGCTTCGACCTTTTATCAGCGTCGAAATCATGTTTTAACAAATTTCACCTAATTATCATTTTCTTTCTTTCTTTCACAAAGTCAGAAACTAAGTATTAAATGTTGTAACTGTAAGCGATACCCTATACATTACGGACTTAATATTATAACTAGAATAAATATTATTGATAGATTAAGGTCCTTTTCATACTTTTCGAGATAAGATTAACATTTATCACTCGCAAGTTCTATGTTAGAATCATTAATACAGAATTTTACACAAACTCTACATGTCAGCTTGATCAACATTCTTTTAAATATATTTTTCATCTGAATAAAATTAACGTATGTCTTAAGTTCACATTCATAGATTGAAAAAAAAAAAGACAGGAAATATATTATGAAACATCATTGAAATACTCGTTAGTTCTATATACATATACATTACATAAGAGTTTATAAGTTTGGTTTTTCTTTTATTTAAATCATGCAACGATCTTTATGCTTAGTTGTTTTTAATACTGCTTTATAAATCAAATAATAAAACGATTACAACCTATGCTTGGAACGATGGATGTCGTTAAAAACATTATCAATGTATCAATGATTCTAACGATATGCAATAAACAATTTATGGCGCACGACATTCAATACATATTTATACACTTCATTATCCTATCTATTGCTTCTACATTGTAGTTGCTTGAAAGGCTCTTAGTACTGTTACTGTGCCGATTAAGATTATTGTTCCATTTTAAATACACACCCATCACTCGGACGAATCGTGAATAAAGAACTTCATTAAGATTAAAAAAGTTGAAGGACCTTAAAATTTGCGTTACATAACAAATAAAACGTAACTTATCCTAATAATTTCATTATTATACTTCTAATCTATACTACAATTACTGAATTATCCTTACCCTAATCTTATTTGAATCATTTTTTGCATTGATGGGGCTTCATCATCAGCCCAGATCTAATGCCATATGTACATTCAATTTTTACCCGAAGGGATAACACTTTATGTTTTAAACATTAAATAAAGGTAATTGTTTACCTTCGTTGATGTGAATACTGTTTAAGACTATCAGGTGTGAACCATGTCCGGAAAAAGAGTATTTCTAACATTTTATCAGGAGTACAGATAACTTTATCAATAGAAATTATGAAATCCCCCTGAGCAAAACTAACAGAGATACCGGTTACCATTTTAATTTTATTCAGAGTACCTTTTTACTGTTTTTAAATTGATCAGCAGGCCGTGAACTGGAACATGAACGTGGGTACTATATAAAGACTGTACAGTCTGATGAACATCGGTATTAACGCGTTTTTAGATTCTTGATTAAGCTAGTTGCACTGCTAGTAAAACAATGGAGGTACTTTTCTTTTGAACACAGCGTACACCCGAAAATCTCAAGCTACATTATCTGTAACAAATCGAGCCGTGAAAGCCTCAAAATTCTTCTACGAATAAAGTTATTATAATAGTTCAAGCTGCATCGTAACTTTGTTGATGTAGGTGTCTATAATTTCTGCTTCACGTGTGCAAGTTAATGTCAGTGGAACTAAAAGAAATAGAGTATGTATTTTCGAGTTTGCAGTAAATATCAAACTATTTAAATGTAAAATACTAAACTTCTGTACAAAGATAATTGCATTCAATCATATGCTTCATTCCATTTACAATTAAAAGAATGATCTTCCAGTTATGTGTTAATTACTTTGAATCGTGACTAATTACATGGAAGATACTTGATTTAGTTATATTCGATAGTTAAAGCATTTCAAATAATCCCCCCCCCCCCCCCCCCCCCCCCCCCCCCCCCCACACACAAAAGATGACATTAGATTTAGACTGATTGATATACACGTCATACAGAAGATATCATTCAGCAAATGTGGCACGATGTTTTTTTTTTTACAACGCTAAAGATATTACATAACACTATGCTTTATCAACTTGCCACAACTTTGGATTTCATTATAACAGATTCTTAACTTACTTTGGCCATTGGCTTAGAGACCTCGACAATTAACATTTACAAACCTTTTATTCATTTGCATCTCCCTACCGATAATTTATTACTTGACGTGGCCAATTTTTTTAGTACTCACAATAAATATAAGTATGATGAATATGATATCGTAGAGAATCATAGTCTCATGAGCATAATAGTAAATATGCTTAAGCGTGACAATAGTACACGTCAATATTTTTATAATCGCACGACCCGTAAGTCTAAATTTTTCTTCTTACAAAAATTGGTTGATTTAAATGATAACTACGCATAAACAACAAGATAACAGTTTCGCAAGAAGCGATTTATACAATCGTAAATTTATGTTGTAATGTAATTTTTTTTCTTTTTTGTATCATACAAATGCTAGAGATAATTTAATCTCTATTTAAAAAAAAAAGGAAAAAAAAAGAAAAGAACAAAATAAGCGTAATATGCACGGCAGCTGATATTTTTCTTAAACTGTTTGTTCACATGGTTTTTGGCGCAAAATTTCACATCAGTCAAGCTGCGTATGCCTTAATCTAATCTAAAACATGATTAACTAAAAGCACCTCTTTAAAAACCTACTCGCTAGAATGTGTAGAATACCTATCCAACACCTGGTCGACAATATGTTAAATAAAATATAAAAAAAAGGGAGGAAATAAACTCAATATAAAGTTGCTTGACCTATCTCAGGTATTGGACAGATTCGTTTGATTATAAAAGTAAGTAAAAAAATTGACCACTCAAGAAGATTGTTTAGCATTTAAATAGCCTAGAAATATTCGTGCTCAAGATATGATTATCATTATCTGGTATCAGTTGCTTGTGTAAAAAAAAATTTTTTTGAAGAATTATGCAAAGTACATAACTCGCTTTGTGTCTGCATGAACTGTAATAGCTCTTGCCATTGCACCTGGTGTTCTGTCTTCACTGCAACCTGATTGATGAGATCCTTCCCCGCTGAAACGTGATTATTGCAGAAAACATTAATAATAACGAATTAAAGTAAAACAGATCCTCCAACTAGAAAATTATGCGACACATCACTCAGATTTTCGTATATCAATTATATCAAATTTAAAGTTTATCGCTTTATAAATTGATAAAAAAATTTCACTTACCTATCATGTTCCTTTTCTACCAAATGATATCTGGCTCGGAATGCTACAAGATGAGCATAATATGCTGGTGCAGGTATACTGACAGACCTCGTACATCTCACATACGTGTGACAAAGTTGATAAGTAAGACATTGTAATTCATCACTTTCAAAATGATTATCGTCCCACAGAACGTGATAGTGTGACGGCCGTGATGTGCCCTAAGGAGAAAATAAACATAATACGAACGCTAGACGAAAGAAATCTAAAAATACATTTATTCACAGATTATTAATTTACCTGGATGCCTTGATGACTACACAGATAAAAGTCGAATTCAGTTGGATGCGTTATACAAACATCTACCGTTGTACCCGCTGGAATGTTTCCACTTTTTCCACTTTGTTCCTTTTTATCTGCACAGAATAAGCGGGTGTGATGTCTCTTCTGTACTACGATGAATGTTATTCCAGGTTTGTAATCAGCTTCGAGTTTAATGCAAGCCTCACGAATAGCAGTTAATTCGTGTTGCAAAACGTGTAAAAACTGGCCTTCCGAGACACCATCACGATAAAGAATTATTCTGTGTGGCTTATATCCCCCGGTACTTTTATAAAACATGATAAGAAGTTCTCTGAAAAAGGAAAAATATACTATTATTTATAAACCAAAAAAAAAAAAATGCAACTGTATTTCGTGCATTTAAGTGAGATAGTTCAATTATAAATACCACTTATTTTTTTAAAAAACGTACTCACCTCACCATTGAACTGAGTTCTTGAATAATTTCTTGTCTGTGTTGCTGAACCCTAACAGTAGCCGCATATCGAGATGGATGAGCATCCATGCTACCAACAACTGCAGCTATGCTAGGTTTCTTATTATCTCCAGCAGGAGGATGAGTTACATCAGCCCCCAAAAATATGACAGGTTCATTGAATACTTTAGGTCTGATACTTGGTACCAGAATACTATTAATACCCCCTAATTTTACGTTAATTTTTAGACACAAATTGGATAACGTCTGCGGCGATGTTTTATTAACATTTTTTGCTTGTACGCATTGCGTTGCTATACCCAGTAATGTGTCCCCAACTCTTTTCACTTCGGCTGCAGGTAAATAAATATTCAGCAAATGTAGAAAGATAATATTTCATAATATCTCAAACAATAGGATTTTATATAATTACCATATACAGGCGTTTTCCCAGGTAATACAACGCAAACAAGTTGTAACGATTGAAATGTTGATTTTAAATATCTAAACATGGGCTCTACTTGATCCGGCCCGGTAGCGTATTTACAAAAACATGGTTGCCCAATAATTGGCATTCCAGCATCGTTGCTTATTTTTTGTAACTGTGTTGTAAACATACGCAGTGCATCCTCGCGTACATTTCTTTGAGGCGCGAAGCAAGCAATTGCCCAAACTCTAATTTCCACACCTGTGAAAAATTGCTTGCCGCGCATGTCCCATACACCTTGATTAGGCATAGCTTGCTGCTTCGTCTTTAGCAACAAAAAAAAAAAAAAACGAACAAAAATATATCATTGAATATCATGAAAATGTATTATCGAATAAAAATAATAAACAAAGTAGATGCATCAGTATTTCTACATAATCCATGCAATCACTGCTTCTCTATTTTCATTACATAAAAGTCATCTAAATGTAACAAAATAATGAATCAGATGAACAAATAAAAATTCACTTCATTTTATCGCTGCATGGAACGAAACTGATAGCATCAAACAATAGCTAATGATATCGGACTGTAAATGTAATGTTAATTGTATCAGTAAAAAACTAAAATTCTTTTTGTAGACTGAAACAATATATGACACCTTAGATTAACGCGAAACTATTTTTTCGAAAGTAAGTAATCGCTGTAATCAAGTGTACGTATAATTAATTTCATTACAGTGACAGCCCGTATACCAAAATCAACCAGGTCTAGGACCCATGCATTCATTTGACAATTTTTCATTTTACTTATTCGTAAAATGAAACGAATTCTTATTTTGGAAGCGATTACTGGATTTTCGTCATGTATTTATTCATTATGTATACAAAATGGTAAGTATTTCAAATCTGTTCACTTTTTTTTTTTTTCAATAATATGACTGATATTTATTTTCATCGAATCAGAGAAATTAAATTGCAGCTAATAATCTTGTATTATGTAGCACTGCAAAATCGTATCCCTACCAAAAATAATATAAGAGCCACTGAATATGTGTGGTTTGGCTAGACCTGACTGATTAAGTTGGAAGTTTCTCACCTGTCCACTGAGGGAACTTACACGCCCTCCGTATTGTAGCTTGGGCGGAGGTAAAACACGACCCCTAACTTCCATCATATTGTTTGATATTGTCAGACCAAATTCTTGAACATATGAATCATTATTAAAATCAGCTCTTCTAACTAAATTATTTATTTCTCGTTCACGATCTGGAGCAGAACGAGCTGTAGCTTTTATCATAGTGGATGTCTGCATATCAGTCAATTTTTTAATACAGCGTTGCCCGGCGACAATATTACAGACCTAATAACACGTAAGTTTATGATATGAAACATGATACAATTATGAAATGAAAATTGAATTACAGGAAAATACACTAGGTTCAACAAACCTCGAGGGGTAGATATGTGTGCTTATGCTCTTGTCCAACTTGAAGACACGGAAGATGCGGATGACGTAACTTCATTTTATATTTATCTAAGAAATACTTTGCAACAGTGCATTCAACTGTTTGTCCATTTTCTAGTTGTAAAGGGAATCTAAAATTTTCGAGGCTCATGTATACACAATAACGTCACAAATGCTTTGTTTATACTTACGACTGCATTTGGGCAGGTTTACGTGTAACGTTACACACTCTGTATTTCCGTCTCATAGTTCCACAATGTGTAATTTCAATTTTGAGTCCCTTAATTTCTTTGGTAAACTTAACTCGTTGAGAATCTGTTAAAGGCTTTCTTTGTTCATTTATGTCTCGAATGTCTAATACTTCACACATAAATTCTATGACAGGTTGGGCTTTGTAAAATGCAGTTGCAGAGACTATAATACAAACAATATAATTCAGGTACATGTTACGACTATAGTAATAAAATATTATAGTTTAGTATGTTTGACATTTACCATCAATATTCAACATCATCTTCCACTGTGATGGCCTAACAGATTGATGGAAACCAAACCATACTTCTCTACCACCACCTAGTGGATGATAATATCCATCTGGTGTACTAAAGAATGATCTACCTACAGGAGTATATGTCATAGATGGTAAATGCCTCATTACAACATCTAAAGCAAGTATAGCATCATATGGAATTTGTCTTGTACGTCCTTCTAGAGCTTCTTCTAAAGCAAATAATGAAACTTGAGCCACCCACTTTATCACCACTCTAAAAACTCTGTCTTTACCCTCACCAGGCAATGTTACCTAAAAACAAAAACATATTATTAGAAAACATGCGAAACGGTTCACAAATTTTCTCAATTATGATACTTACTTCTAATTCTATTTTATCAGTACCAATAGGCAAAGGGTCCCTCGTATATAAATTATTTCTGCCATCGAACACAGGCTTAAGAGTTCCGAATATTTTACTATATGCATGAACCATCGTTTCTATTATTTCCCTATTAACTTTACGAGGACATTTATCTGGTTGAATGTTAATATCATAATGATGCACAAAACCACGTGGCATTGTAATTTGAAAGTGATTAGCTCTTAAACCAATTGGTCTGCCTTCACGTCCTATATTTGGTCTCCGAGGACACGAAAACACTGTAATAATAGTTCGATTTCGCTTAAAAATAATGCAAAAATTAGTTAAAACATACAAATTAATATTTTAATTTAAATCTAAAAAACATAACAGTTGCACAATGATTTTACTTGTACAACAATATATTTGCTACATGAAATTACAAGTGCAGTGTTTTTTATTCGATTAACATGGTAATTAAGTATGCTATATTATTTCAATTTTTACAATTTATTTAAGATATATACCAAAAATATAAAACCATTTGAATAACTCACTTGGCAGTTCAGGAGGTTGAGGAGGAGTGTGTGTCTGCTGTGCAGGAACAAGTCCTAAAGAGCTAGGAGCAACGACACTGCTCCCAGTTGATCCAGCTGCTCCCACAGAAGAACTTGTTGTGGGTCCAGGTGGGGGAGCTAAAAATATTAAAAACAACTGAATAATATTGTAAAAAGTATAATAAAATAACTATATTACAATAATAAAAAGTTATATTCTACCTGTATAATAGATAATATTAAGCAAAAATTTATAGTACATTTTATTGTTTTATGGACTATAATGTTTAATAATCTATATTTGTACAATCAAAAAGCTTTAACTTCTGATCTTAAACAAATACTGATATTATATTAGGATTCCTGTAGTTTTATTCTAAATGTTAACGATGTCAATGAACTTATGAATAATGCCTTCAAATATTATTCTGTTTTAATTCAGAACACTGAGTTTTTCATTAGCATAATTTACTGCAATGCTGCTTACTTTGATAATTAGGTTTTAGGTACATGTTAAATTCATAGTTTATTATAATATTGCACATCATTATATTGATTTAAACTATACCTGATATATTTACCTATTTCTAATAGAATATAATTTATAAATACTTTTTCCCATAATATATTTACATATACACAATTAAACATAAAGTATGATTTAAAAAAGACATAACAGAAACCTTAAATTACATACATTGGAATTCATTTTTAATATCTCGACTTCTTCATACGTAAAATATCAATAAAGAGGTAATATTAAAAATATAAATTTATAAAGGCACATTGTTTTTAGATAAATAGTATAATAAAATATAACAACTTTATATTTTCATTTATATAACACGTTTATTTACAGTATTATTTATTTCCATAAAAACTTAATGGGTTCTAGTTTTCTGTCATAATTAACATGATAAGGTGATACATTGAATACGTGATATGTATTAAAAAAAAAAAATATCAGCGTTAAACATTAGTCCTCATACGTTATCCATGTATTGACGGATCAAAAGTGACGACACATTGTGCCTGTTGAACGAGGTTCATTCGAGGTCATTTTTCAAATTTTCTCTGGATCTTTAAATTTAACCTATTACCAGAGATTAATTTCATTATTGCATGTGCCGTTAAAAAGTATTCTGATTCTCTCAAAATGATAAAAATACGAAGAAATTCAGAACTAATCGTACAACGATATCCTGCTCTTGCTTAGACAAATACAGAAGAACCTATTTTGGAATATTTTGAAATATTATGACGAAAACTAAACATAATTAACTACTCACGCTGCCCTACAGGATACATTTTTGCAGCTGATGATGAAAAAGACCAGATAACCACTAATAAATCAGTAAAAAATTTAACACAAAACCCACTGACCACACAACACACTTCTCCACAACACACACTACGAATGAGATTGCCTTTTGCAATGGCTGCCTTCAACTTCACTCCAATTGGTCTTATCTCGACCAATCAGCGCGCAATTAATAAAATAATAGTTGATAATTCTTGGCGCCATTATTTTCTCAAATAATTTAGATTTTCTACTTTCAAATAAAACAATATATTTGTAATTTATTATATAATTATAAAATATCAGTATATATAAACACTGATTATACTACGTTTAATATAACCTTTCGAAGTTACTTCAAAATTATTATGCCCTAAAGATAAATATTAATAAGAAATATATATATGAATTTCGTTTTATTCGAGACTTTTATTATATTTATAATTACACTATTATTCAATTATAAACGATTTTTGTTTATGTTGGTGGCACTGCAATCGCAATTATTTCCCCCTGGATTATATCCACTAGTGATAGTGTATAGGTACGCGATTGCGTGCTGAATTTCCGAAATGTCGATTCCTTTTAATGGGACTCGTACGCGATCAGCAGGATTAATAAGTGCAATTATAAAACAATTAAAATCGATAAACTTAAAACCGGTAAAATCAATCAACATACAGTTTGATCCCTTTCATGAAAAAGCTTCGGAAATAAGGTTAGTCCATTGAAACTCATACGCTGTGTATATATTTCATTAAATTTAATTTCTTTCGCTGTCTAAGACTACAATAAATAATATTTAATGATTTATTATTTATAAATTCATTTTCAATCGTAAATTTTCTATGAAACGTAACGATTAATTCCCTTTGCTGCGAGTTTGTTCCTATTTGGTGACGTCAATACTCTGCGCATGTGCAGTACAAAATTTTTAGTAACTAGCAGACGACAAGTACCTAAATGTATATTTTTAGAAAAACTATTCTAATGATTTGTCAGTATAACAACGCGTATAAACATTATATTGAATTTAAATAAACCACTGATTATTTTAACTTATAATTGTGATCAATCAGTGTTATAGTCTCTCACTGCAAATCAACTGAAAAGGTATAGTTGATTTTTGACATCTAATAATTTTCTACTCAAAACCAGACAATATACATTAAATTATAACATTTTTTTAATTCCTGGAAAGCTACTTATTTATTTGCTTTGATAAAGCATTTGAAATTGATAACTATAATGATTATTTATAATTGTTAATTAAAATAATGTTTGTCCATTAAAAAAAAAGGAAAGATTTTATGTCTTAATATAATAATGCACTTATGGAAATTAAACTTACCACTACATTGTCCACATCCATATGCTTTGCCAAGCATAGAGACTGCTGTAGTTATGCGAAGACTACTTAAGTCTGGTAATTGAATTGGTAGTTGTTCCATTTGAGCCATTTTGCCTGAAATGTTACAAAAAAACAAAAATAATAATAAGCAGATCATTAGCATAAAAATATGTATACATGTATATGGTGTATTTACAGAGATTTTTTCTTTCACATTACTTGTAAGAAGATTATTGCAACTAATCCACGTTGTGTTGTAAAACCTCAAATTGTTTCGGATTTGTCTGAGCCCATAGTCAAATTCAAATTATGTAAGTATAATTTTTTTTGTATCAAGAAATACTTAATGTTTATTATTTTTTACTGTTAATTTATATTACTTTATTTATAATATTCATACAAGTATAAGAATTAGATATATTGCAACAAAAAAAAAGTAAAAAATGTATTATAATTCAAATATAAACATTAAACTATATTAAAGGATGATCAAATACAATATCATATATTTGTATCTCTATATTTTAGTATCCGGTGATAACGTGGTATTCAAAACTACAAATTTGACATCTCTGAATATTTTGCAACTTTACAACAAACACATTACTCCATTAGCTCCAGTTGAATCTGAAACTGAAATTAGCAAGAGTCTTGAAGAAGCAAAGAAACGAAAGAAAAAATATCCATTTAAAATTAAGGCAGGAAACAGACGTAGAGGATTAATTTTATAAGTAACAGTTTAATAACTGACATGTATAATAAATAAGTTTTGAAATACAAAGGGAATAAATATAAATGCAAGTAAAAATTACAAAATAAAGCATCTTTTCAGCCTAATTTGTTGCTTCTCCCTTACTTGTAAAGTCATAAAGAATTAAATTTACATTGTCAATTGATAAGAAAAATTTAGACATCTTATTTTAATCAAAGATTAAATTGTTTTCTGAAGTTCTTTATTGTACAAAACACTCTTCAAGATGGCTAGTCATACTGTCAATAGTAAAAATTATAATATGAAACTTATTGATACTCTTTATAATCAGGTTCCAGCCTTTACTGATGTTTTCGATGAAGAAACTTGGTATATTTTTGTTGCCTGCTTTGTTGCAGGAACATTTTTAGTTGCATTTATTCTTTCAAGATTTATAACATTAAAACCCGTGGAATGAATTAAAAATATTTCCAAAAAAATGACATCTTATATCCATACGTGTAGATTATTAGTTATATTCAATAAATTTTGTTAATATTAAATTTTAATAATCTAGATGTATGCTATATAATTATAAACATTAAGTTTTCATTATGATTGTAATAAATAACATATTACAGTATATGACAACTTTTTCTTTAAATATCTGATCAATCAATTTGGCATTTGTGTCCCTATTATAGATTTCAACACATTGTGTGTATCATAGTTTTGATGAACAAAGTTCATATCTTTAATGTAATATAAATTATATAATAATAAAAAATTAACAAAAAGTAATTGAAATAATGTGTAATTACTTTCATTACAAATTATTTTAAATAAAATATTCATTATATTATGTTTCATCATTTTAGTGTTATTAATTTTATTCTCTAATTGCATGAAATTTATAAATAATAAAATTCCTTATTGAATTCTATATTGTATTTATATGTCCTTTTAAACCGAGTTTGCAAATGCCGTATATTCCAAGTCCACCAACTATTCTACGTCTCTTTTCTTCTCTTTTATTCTATTGCCATCTCCATTTCCCGCCCCCCTCGCTCTCCTATATTCATACGGCCTTTTATGTGGCATATGTTCATTCTCCTTATATGTATTTTATCCTTTTCTTAGTTTCAGTACTTTGACCTTGTTAATATCCCTGTTTGATATATATATTTTTTTTTTCTATTTTCAGCATAGCTATTTAACAATTCATAGGTATTTAAAATACTGATCGGAAGCGATCGAATGACGATTTAAACGGTCAATCTTACATCGTGATTAACACGGGAATGATCACAGTGAACATAGATGCAACTATGTAATTTAAAAAAAAAACTCACCTATTTCGTAAAACCGGTATTCGAATCGAGACGTACAAAACTGATAATCACACTTTACTTGGAATCACATAAACATTGTCAATTTTTAAATTTAAAAAAAAAAAACTTCACTTCAGTATCTGCGCATTAACTATGCATGTGATAGTCATTTTATACATAACACCATGAACGAAAATGTAATGTGTCTTCCATGATAAAATCTTTTACACATGACGACAATTAATTATTTTATAAATTACACATTTTACACAATATTCGTTTCTTTTGCCGTTTACTCTAAACGCGTATTTTCAGGAAGCTAAAGCACACATCAAGAGTGGTACATAGAAACCGTACCGAAAAAATGTCTGTAGTTTACATCTGTAACAAATGTAAATGGCAATGTGTATAATGATTTCAGATGTATAAATAACTTTTAAATAATTAGCAACTTTGCGCGTATACAATTATCATAAATACATCATAAATTAAATGAAACGTTACATATTTACAACATTAAATAAATCAATTATTTTGCAGATATTTCGTTAGAAATTGATCATTTAAAACTTGATTCGCCAATGCCTCGCCATTCTTATCTAAAGCGTGCACCGTATCGAAGGATTTCATTGTTCTTTAAGATAATTCGCGCGTAATAGAACGAAGTAGGTTTCTTTTTTATGTGAGAAATGTTAAATACGGATAACTGTGTAAACCGATTTGAAGGAAGTATGTAGTAAGAGTTTTCCCCTACATTTAAAACGTTTGTGATTGTGTACATACACGGCATGTCGATACAGTTATATAGCTTACTTTGTTTTGATGACTATTACTTGAATGAAGAATGAAATTGATAGAATTATGTAAAAATATTACGAGAAAAGGCAAAATGAATATAATCTAACATAAATATTGCTGATTCACTGAATTATTTGATAGACATAATTTACCAATATCATACTCTAATGACTTATTTCTTCAGCTTTCAGTATACGCGCAAAATATATTCAGTAAACATTCTGTTTGTGTAATATAGTCTGTTTAAAAACAAATGTACACGAAATATGCCACAAATAAAACAGTTATAGTCGCGGAAGCAAACAGAACCGTAACGTATTGTGATTCTAAAACGCGTAATATTTCAATGATCCGGTACTGCCAAACTGTCGGAAATTTTGCAGAATGGCCACCGCCGCTTTCACTCGCGACGCGATTCTACCAGACACGATTTCAGTAGGAGCGGGACGAAGCCGCCAAAAACGATCACCAAGTGTCAAGGTTGCCATTGTACATGAACATGCCGAATGTACCCCCGGGTGTGTGGGTAGCGAGTGCATTCGCATACACTCTACCCACCTCACACATAGCTAGCGCTATCACACAATAATATTATCATGATACCCCGCGCTTGTTTTATGATGACACCGAATCCGATTTACGGTATGCTCAACTACAAAATGATCTAATACACTTTCACGGTTAATATGTAGAGAAGAAAATATGTTTTGCACAAATTTACCGGGCGTCTTTTAGCAATATTCACTAAACTAGCGAACAACATCCGCAAAAAAGACCCCACTACTTGTTCGATTCCTCAGTCACTGCGCATGCTCATTCGGCCAGGATTGTAACAAGTAAACAAAATGAGGTAGCATCGTCTCACGGTACTTGTTTACAAACAACGATATACATAGAATACTATTTAAATTTGCTCATTCATCATATATACTTTACTTACATTCAATACACCTGTGATATATGCATGAATGAGAGCATATCAATGCCTAATTCATTACTTTCTATTACTTTAGCGGCACATAAATATTTTCTTCGATTAAAGGAACCAAAATTAACCTATTAAAAAATATATTATTTTTTACAAAAATATGAAGTTTTATCATTTTTATGGAAGTTATTCATTCCTTTTTATCATTTTAAATATATTTTATATTATTGTCATAAAATTATACCTTATGGTTTAAATAATGTAAATAACATGATCTTTTACATAAGTAAGAAAGTTCATGTTTCATGATTTATAAAGGAAATGTATATAAATTAGAAATAATTAATAAGAGTCAATTTTAATTGATGATTTCTCATTTTGAGCCGATCCTGAATGATGTCATAATCGACAGACCAATGAGGTACTCTGTAAATTAAGTATGCAACGTCTGACAACGCATTTTGTATGTCCTTTATCAACCCTTATATATAAGACATAGTCCTGTTAGTGTAAAATATTATAATAAAAAAATATATTAAACATTTTGGGAATAGTCTTAAAAGTATCAAATTTACAAAGTTTAAACAATATCATTCGTACAATTTCACAAAGAATTTAATACAATGACCAGTCTAATATTCTATATTGATTATCAGTGTTATCCAATAACACGTTTATGCGTTGTAAACAACGCAGCTCTATTGGTCAGTTAGACTCTCGTTGTCAACTTCGTGATAAGAAACGGAAACTGTAAATATGAATGACTTTTGACTTGACACATATCGGTTAAAATAAAAGACAGATTGCCGAAATAATATATCCAGTGGAAATTTTGATAGAATAAGTAACGTTTGCAGAGATTTTCAAGGAATATAATACGGACCTACTGCTATTACTACTCGTTCAACGAGAGTCCATACCTGCCATACGACGAGTTTTCGTTCGTTCTGCGCATCTTAACTGTGATTGGCTCAAGCATAGCTCGTCTGCGCAAGCGCACAGACAGCATACCCAGTGATCTTGTATTCAGTATCTCTTCATACTTCGGCGTTGTCACTTGCTTCCTCTATTCATATATTTTTGTGCACCATATATATGACCACGAAGTTAGAAGTAAGAAATAGAGGGCCTCTTGGAGTTGCGCAAAACAGGTATGTTCTCTCATTGAACGAATAATATGTCGGCATTTTTCTCACACGATATGAAAGATGTCACAAATTTTAACAAAGCCCACTTTCTGAAAAAAAAAAAAATAAACACTTAACAGTTTCATTTAATTAGATATATTTTCAATTACAAATTTCTTAGACCATTAACGACTTAATCGTTTGTTGATCATTTTTATATCATTTCATATATTTACAGTTGAAAGGATGAATTTAAATATATTTATATTATAATAGAGTATATTATTCTTTCCCGAATTATTTATTGTACACGAATAATTATAACGTAATACATTTGATATACTTCCTAAATAAAAATATAAATGAAATCAGGCTTGTTAAATTTGACTTTTAATCTAAAGCCATTCCTTCATCATCATCATCTTTCTTATCAGGGCTACGCGCTGGTGAACCTTGTTTAGTATTTTTTTCCTCCTGTCCTTGCTGCGTTTGTTCTTGGCCAGTCTTAGCTTCAGACTCGAGAGCACTGACGAATTCCTCAATGTTTCCACTGGACGCGGCATTGACGGCATCTGGTCCCAAACCAAATTGACGGATGACAGGTCCCGCTTGGCCTGACTGCAAAGCAGACCAGAACATTGATAGCGCCTGGGAGAACTGGGGAGACAATAGCGTTGTACACAGGTGGTCCCCGGGTGGCAAATGCGGGCTCATTGCCCGCTCCAAGCTCTCCGTTGCAGAGATCGCCGCAGGGATGGCATTGGTCAGCTCAGTTGCTACGCCCCTCTGCCGGACAATAAGCTGTGCTGTAGGTGGCCGAAAACAACAAATAATCCCAGAGAAACTTCCCCAACTGCTCAGCAGAGCGAGAATCTCCGACAGCCAGGTAAAATTCATGTGGAGAACAGTATTAAATAATGAAAAAACCGTGCCCCTTGTCCTTTGATTTTGTTATATCATTTCCCCTATATTCTGAGTTTTAGTAACGGTTGATACTCTCTATGAAACAATAAAAATGAACACAATGTTACAAAGCTAAAATTTCAAGCCCAAAACAATTGTTATGTACACACATACATTAATGATTTTACTTTCTATTTTTTGATGATATTTAAAAAAAAAATCATAGCACAACATGAAAGCAATAATGTAAAAACTTCACTAATATTATTCTTTTAAACAAAATAGAACTTTCTCTAATAAGCAAGTAGATATTATATCAAGAACACGTTAACTACTATCTTTTGTATGTCATAAATAATGATACTACAAAAAAATTATATATAAACTTTTACATAAATACCTATTGATATTTAGTCTTATAATTTGTATAAATTCCGCGTTGAACTTGGACGTTAAACTACAAAGTGTTTTCAAATAAACAAAAGAAAAGTATCATACATTGAAAATGATATTTTGCAGAGCTTCTTGAATGGTTTGTTATATTTTCAAGGTATTAATCAACTGGCTGTCGTTTCAAGTTATACATTATCAAGAATATCATTTTATTCCCGATAATGATAACAGATATAAGAAAAGATAAAATAAGAATTTATACATACTGTATGTAATAATTCTTTCATTTTCTGCCGTTTTTAAGTATTACTTTTTTACGTGTATTTCGTCTAATTTCTTTGTTAACGCATTCTTAAACTAGACAAATTTTTATTAACGCTGCTACTAATAATAAATTTACCGGTGTAAATATAGAGAAAGTAGATTGAAAACTATAAATGATTGCATAAAAAAATTATATATCGTAAATGTAAAATAAAATGAAACCTGTATAAAAACAATATATTACATTACTGCTTTCTATCAAAATTAAATTATGTGATTAAGTAAATGACAAATTAGGTAAATTGGAAGTACATTGAAAGCAAATTTCATCATATGGTTTAGTTGCTCTGTTATTTTAATTCCTATCATTGCATAAAGCTCAAGCTTGCAGGCATGTGTTATTTGATATTGTTCTGAAAACACAGCAAGCTTGTATCTAAATTACAAAAAAAAGCGATTATATAGGACATTGTTGATAATCTGAAAAACAATCTTATGTCGGTAATTTCCTTTAGGAAAAAGAATGAGAACATATCTCATACTTTCTTATTCATAATTAACATATACCTTCCTTATGAGATATTACCTTGCAATTATTCATATTTTAATTGTATATAACATATTGCTGCAATAATCTTTAGATATTAAATAAGAAGCTGTTTAATAACAATGCTGTTATTAAATAATTGAAAATTTAAATGCACTAATATGTATTAAAAATTGTTCAAAGTAAAAAGATATTACCTGAACAACAGATTCTGCTCCTGTTGGCGTTGGAATTTCTGACAAAAAATTTTGAAGATCACTAAGCTGTATTTTGTTGTTAGTACTTGTTGTTGCTCCAGGTGTTGATGGGCCAGATGTTCTTGTTGATGATTTACTCTCACCTAGATAAGGATGTATGTAAAGCAATGTAACATGTTGCATTATCAATGGAATAAATATTCTTACCATTTGGCTTAGGAGAATCATTAGTAGTTGCTGGTGTAGATGTAATTTGAGTTGATATTGGAGCATTTGTAGTAACTTGAGATGGTGTAGTTATACTGGAAGCTCTAGTATTTAGTACACCTTGCTGTCTGTTCATTGTACCTAATAAGCTGCCTAAGCCACCAATTTGTCCTACACCACCAAACAATTGCATTAGTTGGCGTTGTGACATGTTACTCAATAAATTTTGTAAATCTCCTTCTGGATTTGTACTGCCACTTCTTTGTGAACCAGGGGTTGGAGGATTATTAAGAACTTCATTAATTTTCCTACAATGTTCTTCATCTTTATCTGTTTTAAGATCCTGCAAAAAAATAAAATATTTAAGGGCAAAGTAAGATAAGATTAGAGCTTCCTTCAAAATATAGACACATAATATACTTTCATTACCTGGAGCCATACAAAGAATTTTTTGTTTGATGATTTGAATCGTAGAAGATATACTCTTCCAGTTTTACATTGTGGAACATGTTTGAATTCACAGTCATCAGGAAAAATAATCAAATCCTGTAGAAGAAAAAGAACCGTTTATAAAAATCTTGGCAAATTTAAAAGTAACACATAATGTTTAGGGGGTCAAAAAAAATTATATCATTTTCAAAGTTCAGTAAAATATTCGTACATCTTCAACATTTCCTGTTGTACGATCTTTCCAACAAAAATGCATTAACGAATCGTCGGATTGATAAACGTAAAGTTGGCCTTTACGCGTATCTGGATAAACCATTTTTCCCTTCATGGTCATTTTTCCTGCTTTAAATTCGACTAAATTTTTCGAAGTACCGCGGGAAGCATTATTTCCAAACAGAACTGCTCCAGACATTTTTAATTTTTTAAAATAACCGGTTTGTTATGACAAATATATTAAATCTTAATACGCGGGTTAATTCACGTTACACGACGCGTTGATGACACTGCACTTTAAAATGGCGTGTTTGAAGATTTCCAATCTCGTGTTCAATTCCGAAATATCTACGCCGCGTAGCGACGATACCAGTAACCATTTGCTCTGCAAATAGTGACCTTACCGATGAAACGTGAATAGTCACGAATCAGTTATGCGTAAATAGTGCGCGGTTTCGTGCTAGTGTAAAAGTTATTGCTGGTTTATTATTCATTTCTTCGTTTCAATTCAAGTTTATTTCAAGTAATTAACCGTAAGTTTTTTTCTTTGCATATTAATACAATAATTATTCAAAAGGTACATCATTAAAAATCTAAATTAACGAGGAAAATTCGTTAAAGTTTGCGGTTTCGGTTTCCTGATTGCAGGCTTTGGCGTTGTTGGGCGAAAGGATGGTTCATCTCAATTACACGGTGGACAATTGTACGACAGAGAGTGATGATCAATCATGGATCAATGTTGGGTCAATCTTGGGTCAATCGTGAAATATATTATGGGCGCAGTAGTACAGATCTACGATCGGTGAGTCGTATGTTTTAAGTTCCTCTAGTTCTCATGTCATAGCGCGAAACAACATGGGGACTGGTTGTATTTTTATGCGTGTTAATCTGTAACTGGTAAGGTGGATTCTATTAGAAGATCCTGGCAATTTTTACTCTTTTAGAAAAGTGTCATATACACCCTTTCTTATTTCTTACTTTACGTATAAATTTTTCAACATTTCTTTGGGGTTATATGGGCCCTATTATGCTTTATATGTAACCACCATTACCAATTATAAGGCGAAAAGAGGAAAGTCACTCTCAAAATAGTAGAAAACCTTTGAGAACGTTATTCTTTGAAATTATAAAAGACACGAAAGCTATCTTTAAAGATATGTATTAAACGAACTGTTATCTACGACTTCGAATATTAACATGTTAAATGTAAGACAAAATGGCGGCGTGGAATTTAGAATTACAGAACCTCGCACTTGAAGATTTTACATTTTAGCAAGAAAGAGGGAAATACATTGAACAAAGTAGTTAATACGTAAATGATATTCGTTGCAATTATGTTTTTTCTCAAAAAAGAGATTTTGTTGAAAAAATTCAAATATACCCGTGGCAGGGTAGCAGGTTAGTTAGGAGGTATTGTTACAGGTGATCCCAAAGGGATCATGTCAACGCAGGTAGAAGTTTTTCTTTTTGGAAAAACAGTTTCTGTCGCTTGAAAAGATACGTAGACAAACAAACCCATCGGGGGTAGTCGTACGTTCCGTTTTCCATGACCTGGGTCAATCTGGAAATGCGAAGAGCGAAGTTGTATACCGAACGAGAAAATTCCGATACCGGGGGAATGAATTTCCCTCGCTATTAGGAGGCCATGTTCGGGCGGAAGTTGAAAATCCGGAAGAGCTTTGCCCGTGGGATACTCTATTCTACCCGTCTTTTCCACTGGTTTCATTTCGTCCAGCAGCTTTCCCTCGGGATAACGTATCCCCGCGTACTTCTGTTTCCCTGATTTCTACAGAATCATCGAATCTTTCTCCAATGCATTGATCATGCACTTCTTCGTATATTTTAGTCCCTAAGGTAGACGTCAGTTTTCAATGCGAACATATTGAAACTCTTAATTATTAAGAATAGGAATAATTTTCAAATTTTAAGCTTTCTTAAAATTAAACTTAAATTATCATTGTTTAAACGGTCACTCATCCAAGGGTTAATTAATTTAGGCTCAGAAATTTGGTATGGGATAAAAATGAAAAAAATATCGTGAAATAACCGATATTGGAATAGAGTTCACTGTACTCTGCACGCAGCATACCTTCCTGTTTATAACCGGGTTCACGGAGACCGATAGAAATACTTTTGACGCGACAAACGAATACGACTGACGAAGGAAAAGATGAAAACGTTGAAAGACAATAGAAAAGGGAAAAAATCAAGGAAAGATTGATTCTTAAAATTAGAAAATCGAATCTTGACAGTCGTGCCTAATAATTGCTTTGAATAATTATCAAATTAAAATAATTTTTTTTTTTCGTTAATAAAATTTTAGTCTTTTTGAAGAACTTTATTTTATTAGAAATATCTTAGGGTAATCTGAGGTGGCAGTTAGACGAACAGCTAGAAAAAGTGTCGATTCGCCCGAAAATCCGGGGCTAGCATACCAGGCGGGTAGGAGAGGATTCCGCATGGTTCCCTAACGAGGTGACCGGAATTCTGATTCCCTTGGGAATCCCCTACGAGTGGAATAGCCACGACAAGCAAGGCGATACCGAAATGCGCGCTCGTTTCACAGGGTAACAAGCTTGATGGAGGTTCGCTGTGAATGGTAGCGTCCTTTGTACGTCTGTTTCTGATTGATTCATCGAATTCCAATAAAAAAAAAAAAAATTAGCTGGTATATAATATAACATTTTCATCATATCTACTCCTATTTGATACATTTTTTAACCCTCCAACGATCATTGAATTTCATTTTTTAAATTATAGAAATTATTAAATAATTTATATTTTCTTTCTTTCGTTTAATTACTTTTCAAATTTCCACGGCTATTTCTTTTTTTCCCCCCAAATACTGTTGCAAGAAAATGGATCAACGATCCCCTAACATTCGTAATTCGGTATATACACGTTCCAAAGGGATGAAGTGAATTCCTCGTGTTCAAAGGAAGAAAAGGAATAGGCGGTAAGTTATCAGGAGTTCAGGGTAGCTGAAGGTATCCCAAGGAAACCGAGTGGAAGAGGGTGGATTTCGCTTAACCGCAAGGGTCGCGCTCGATAAAGGGTAGATGTTTAGGTACATTACAGTATAGTAAAATAATACAAAAATAGTCTATTTTAATATCGATAGACTCGTAGTGCCCTTCAAGTTAATTGAAAAAAAAAAAAAAAAAAAAAAATTAGTTTTAAACTTCCAGCCCTCGTAACTTAGAAGATTTAACCCCTTCGGCTATGATTTTTTCGATAGTTTCGTCAGTCAGAGCCAACTATTTATTTCTTCAATTTTTATTTAAAAATCCTTGATCGAGCTAATTATAATTATAATGAAACTCAAAATTCAATCACTAAAACACATTTTGTAAGTTGCGTCACGAATGTTGTAAGGCAAAGGGTTAAATGATATCAGAGAAAAGGGAGGGTATCTCAAGAATTCAAAGGGTGCCGTACCATTTCACCCATAAAAGTAGCATTATTTTCCTAGCGATTCAATATCGCGTTACTCGGCGAGATTGAGACGGGAGGCCGGCTCTGGTGTAGGTGGTCGATGCACCTCGAAGCTGGAAGTTTCGACGGTGCAATCGACACGGTTCGATGAAGTTACGAGGGCATAACGTTACGTTATAGAACGTAAGCGTAAAGCGAGAAGTATAGCACGTAAGTCGTAAAAGCTGGTAGAACGGCGTCCAATACGAATACAATCGCGTATCCTACGTCCATGTTGTACCGGGGTGTCTGTGAATCGTATAAAGTTTCAGCAACGTAAAGTTGCACGGAATGATGTAGAACGCGTATAGCGAGTAAGGAATATTCCAGTTTTACGTTCGGAACGGTAGAAGTTAAAGAGCGTTTCATACGAAAGGACCCTCTGGGTTTTCATCGGTAAACCTCTGCCACGTTTCCCGTGTAAACTATAAAACGGAAATGAGTTTGTAAGTCCGGGCGATTCAGAAATTTTCACGGCTTGAAAATTTTTTTTATTTTCAAACTGATCAAAATACGACCCCTTCTACATTTCATCCAGGGTACATAACTGCAAACGTGCACCTCATCTCAAGTAGTTATATACCTTCTTTCGTAGTCGAAATACGCCCGAGGTATCTCGTGTCATTGTCTCTGAATTCCTTTTTCTACTCCTCGAATTTTTCCACCCTTCTCGCCGTATTCCTCCCTCTGCCTTCTTCGCTTTGTTCCTATCATTGCTATTTTGCATCTTTCTTCATTTGTACCCCTTTCATCTCCCCTCCATCCTTTGTCTACTCCGAAGCCATCTTTTTCCATTGTTCGTGTCTAAAACCATTCGCTACTCGCATTGTTTCGTTTATACGCGACTCTGTATATACGGTAAACAACCACCGGGTCCTTTTTATTTTTCCCGAGTTTTTCATCCGGAAGTCCGGGCCGTTATTCAAAGGCCTTCGTTAAATTAAAATGCAGGAAATTTCGCTTTAGAAGAAAATTATTTTATTTCGTTAATGATATTTCGTTTGCGACGAGCCGGAGGAAGGTCCACGCGGGCTCTGTCGCCTCGTGTAGAGGCCATAGAACCCGCGGTTCAAGGAGACGCTCTTGAAAGGTCAAAAGTTCGTTCCCTTTGCGTGCACCCTGCGTGACATCTTCGAGGGTTGCAGGGTGCTCCTGTCGCCTGGCAACGTCAGTTGTTCGACCAGAGGACGAAGAAGATAAAGAGAAAGAGAAAGAGAGAGAGAGAGAGAGATGGAAAAGGAACGAGGGTTGATCTTGCCTCTTGCATACTTTCCCTTTTTCTTTTCTCCTTTTCCCTTCGTCCTCTGTTCGCTCTCTTTTCCCACTGGTAGCTTTATTTCCACGCACTACTCGAGTCATCGCCATGTGCTAGGCGCCACCTTAATTGGACCGAGCAATCGTCGAGTTTCCCTTCTTCCTTTGAGGGCCGCCAGCCTTGTGTCCCGAAAAATCATCCCTCTGCTTTGAAACACCCTTACGGAAAGGCCCTTCGTTCCTCTTTTAGATCCGCTACATCTTTTTGAAGATTCCGAAACGCTCGGAAGAGGGAACTTTAATATCCGCCTTCGTTTCAGCTTGCATTTATCGATTGGGTCGTTGAAAGTTAGAAAACTCTGCTGAAATATTGAACCGTGGAAGTTATTGAAATATTTCTACCATAATTTCAATATACCTAGCCTTATACCTAGAGTTTGCAGAAGTCTCCTCGTTCAAATCAAATTCTATTCGAACTGGATCACCTTTGCCACTCGCTGTACCCACAATAGAGCGCTCTTTGCCCGTAACACTACCAGTCGGTGCAGGGTTTTGCAAACGCATCCTCCTTACGCACACGTTTCTCGAGTGTTCATTTCTCTTCTGAAGCTATTCCGTTGCACAGAATATTCCCTGAATTCAATAAAACGACGGAAGGTAGAATGTAGCCTCGTAAACGGGTAATCTGCTATTCAGGTCATAACCTAGCACGGGTCAAACCAGGACGCTCGTTTTCTCGGCATCCATTACCCGGATTCCCTTCTCCTGATGTAGAATTCCGCGAGATAATGGTCACGGTGCTTATAACTCTTCAATTTTCTTCTTTTCTTCCTCTACCGTTGTAGTTAGCCGGGGATTAATCATTATTCCGTGCCATGTTGGGAACGATGAAACAAATCACATATGTAGTTTATGTACCTGTATTGTTGCACGTGCCCGTCTATATATATCCGTCCATGAAACGGAAGTGGGTTCGCGAGGTGCATTGATCCGGTGCAGAGTTTATGTGCGCGATGCAGCAACGTGGATTGGTCGAACCAACCAACCGGTGGGAAGAAAGAGATCGAGGGATGAAGAAGAGAGAAATAGGAAAATCGAGAGGACGGAAAAGGGAGGGATAGGGTTGATATTGGCTGTTTACTATTTTCATTTAAATTCCTTCGGGTTGATTTGAAATTTCATTTCCGTTCGCGTATTACGCGTAGATATTTCGCTGGGGGTAAAACATAATGATTTTGATTTAGTCAATGTATTTCCAAGATTAAGAGATACTTAGCGATCTTTATTAACATTAACTGAATTCCTTGCATCTGGCAGTGGTCTTTAAGTAAAATTACGACCTGTACGATCAGGAGCGCGATTGTTATTCATCCTGCGGCACGTTGCCGCGAAAGAGATGCGACGGATAAAGATAGCGTCGTTACAAAACCGCTTCGCTGTAGATGCTCACCTTTCACGGGTGATTTCGCCTGGACCTACAATCAGGCCCAGCAAGATGGTAGACATCTGCCGGCCATCTGCCAGTTACTTTCCGGAGAATCCTGATGGACAACGGGGCCACCCTTCTAGATCCTCCCATCGACAGACGGCGCAAGGTGTGGTATCCGAAATCACTGGCGAGCCTGTTCGCTTCCTTCGGGCAACGTGATCGATCCAAATTTCAAACGCCCTACAAAAACAACGTATAATGCTAATTCATGCATATGAGAATTCTGACACGCGTGCTAATTAGTAGAAGTAAGTTACAGAGTAGCTTTCGAAAGTATCCGTTTTAAGTGTTAAAAATTGGGACTCTCTCCGTGGTCCGCCGCGCCGTCTCGGGAGTCTCTCCATGGTCCGCCGTCCGAGAGTTGATTCTTCGATTACTAATCGCCAGCTGGTGCATCGATCTCACACCTGGCGATATTAAGGAGAGCTGCCTAAACGGTTGATCTTCATCTGGCAACTGTTCTCCGATTCCGGAGTCATTGATTTATTTAGCACCTTTCTGAAATCCATAGCGCGAAGGTCGTTATTGATGAATGTACTGTTCGCATGAGTGGTTGGCGACATCGAGGCGTCCGGCACAAATACCACACCGAACAGATAGAGAGGGACTCTCCCATATTTTTAGACTCATATCGCAACAGACGTTGCTTATTATTACATTGCCACGAGCCAAACGACAATGCATGTAATGACGTTAAAGGATCGCCCGTCTACATATATCGTTGTAACACGCTCCACTTCATTTGCGTATTCGCCTCGAAATACAATCTAGATAATTTTAGCCAGACGTATATTTACCATTTCTATTAACAAATTTAATGGGTGGTTTCAAATTTTCGATAATTAACAAAAAAATCTTACTATTATTTGAGAAGCAACTTGAGAAAATATTGTTAATTGTTCGATACGTCTAACGTATGTAATAAAACGATTAAACCTGCTTATGATTCCGTGGGTGTACCAATGTGACGGTAGCTAGCAAAGCACGCGAACCCGTTCTTAATAATTTACACGCGTACACGACGCTTGTCACCCTCCAATCAAGGCAAAAGATCCTAGCGAGGGGTTCTATCAAGTGACACGCACCGTGCACGAAGTTCACTGCACCCTTTCCACCCCTGTATAACAGGTGCGCGCAATTACCCTCAGTTGTGCGTGCTGCACAACTCGGAAGGGGGTTGAAAACGAGCACCGGTGGATCTCAAACGGGCTTGCAATGTTCGACGAAGTGCGTGCACATCGTTGACATGCATCGTTTAGAAAATTCCTCTTCGTTTTTGCCGCGGCGTATAGAAAGCCTTCGGCCACGTTCTTTATGCACTCGCATGCATCATCTTCTGAAGATTTTTACGTGAAAGGATGCATTACGCGGTGCCAAGATAACGAATATAATATCCACCGATGGTGCGGACGATCAGACAAAAGAACATATTTTCACATTTTTCTTCGCTACTCCACGCGTCACACCATTCCGGTGTATTATTATTTTTCAGATTTTATTTTAAACATTTGCTACGATTAGCTAGAGATCTTTTTTCGGGGACGGCACGTGTCTCTCCGCTTTGTAAACGACGTCGAGAATTTTAGAAATTTGAAATTCTGGAACTTTTTTTTTTAATTTTAGAATCTTAGAATCTTGGAATAGTGGGGGATCTCCTCGAAAATAGCTGACATTGAAATAAAGAATTTATAGCTCGGTATTATCCATTCGCGATAACAGTCGTTGATTTTAATTTACAAGCAAGAAACGCAAGTTGACCAGTTACGTTTTTTTTTTTTTTACGTAGCAGCAATCAAGAAGATTAAACAGGCGAAACGAGAGCTGTACGCTTGACCGAAATGCAAATTCGGTCGCATCAAATTAAATTGATCATCGCGGAGGCGCCAGTCGTGCAAATCCAGCCGGGAAAAATGTCGATCGAAAATATTCGAAGCATCTTTTCAGAGGTCATTGAACTTATTTCTATTTAAAATTTCTTTAATTCACAGCTAAGGTTTTGTAATATGAAACAGATTTTCATTTCAAGGAAAAGCTTCTTCATTTTGCGTTTATCCGACTAGAATAGCAGTGGAAATTATAATTAATAAGAAAAAAAGAAAATTTGAAATCGAGCGTTCCATTCATCAAATATAGTTATTCAGAGAATCGTCGATAGAATTGAAAACGTATCAATTTTCCGTCGTGTTTTCCTCGTTAAAATTCCGGTTCATTATAAATCGATCAATTACCTTGGTCGAGTCGCGGCTCGACGAATTCTCCGGATGCCGTTCTCCTGTATGCCAGATCCCGCGTCTGTCATCGGCTAGTTCACGAACGTCGGTGGTTGAAAATGTGTGCGAGAAGGAATAGTGTGCCAGACGACCGGCGCCACGAGGAATCCCCACGTATACCTGAACCGAACCCAGACCAAGTGACCGCTTGCGTAATATCCCGACGAACGACCGTCGACGCAGTCTGTACTATTTCCGTGGCGTCCCGCTTGCCACTCGACACTTAACTCGGCCTCCAACCAAGCAACCGATTGAACGAGAACACGATGACGAAATATCCTGCTCTTGCTAGAGTTCCTTCGTTTTTCTTCGAATGCTTCTCCATTTCAATTTAACAATTATTTTATCTACATCAACCTATAGACAATTCCGTTTCGATTCTTCAACTGTTGATAGGCTAAAGTGATTAACTTCACTTTCTGAATTTTTAAAAATTTTATCAATTTTTCTATTTTTTATTTTGTCAGATTAATGATTCGGGAAATGGGCAAAAATTGTATTTATTTTTTTGCAATTTACTACACAAAATTTTATTAATTTTTCTATTTTTTATTTTTTGGTGATTAATGATTTGGTAAATGGGTAGAATTAATTTTTATTTGTGATTGATAATTTCTAGTTAATTATCGAACTAACCATCGATCGATTACTGTATCATTTTATCATTTTTAATTGCGAGTCAATGAAATGCAATTTATGTTGCACAAATGTCAAGGTGCAATCAGGTAGAGTGCTGTTATAGAGACGTTCGAGTTCACAAGACTAAGGTTACCATTGATTTATACTGCATTTTGTGCAGTGATTCAAACCTAATCTTTAAATAGAAACGTGCATTCTGACGGTGGGAATACATTTTTCACGCGTAGCTAAGTGAATTTTTGGCTTGATTTAAGGTGTCCAAGAATATCTGCAATCACGTAATGCAGGGAGAATTTTCACCTCTTAGTAGTTCTAATTTTTGAATACAATAAGTGATACAAAAGTTGGGCTATTACAAAATTTAAATATCTGAAAATGATAGAAATTTTCATCTTTTCATACTGTTTCTCTTTTTACCTACTGCAGAATGCAAATATTTCTCTTGACAAGTGTTAATCATTTATTTGGTATACCATACCAAACATACCTTTTCTACATACCTTTTGTAAAACATATACAGGGCGTGGCAGCTAACTCGATCACCTTGAATAACTTTTAAAATTACAAGAGCATATGGTATAGAAAAAAAAAAAGTTGTTAAACATAATTAATATTCAACCCCTTGCTGTGATTTGATAAACCTCAGACGTGATTCATCACAACCCTTTCCTACAAATGTGCTCTTAAATTTTTAATTAGACGAATCCGATTTTACATGGAAACAGTTTGAATTCAACAGGTGGATATAGCGTGAGTCGATGTAATGATGTCTTATTACTATACTTCTACGTAACAGCTTAGCAAAGTCTGATACGACCCTAATCCAAACTGACCTAACTCGATGGCAACCTGTTGCAAATGTGTTCGATGACAGCTGACAATTCTAGAAACAGTAGTTTCGTTTTCTGATGAAGGATATTTAGTTTAAAAATTTAGGGGAATCTAAAATCCTATAATTTATATTTAGTTGGTTGCATATTTTTTGAAATTACTGGCTCTTTAAAAAAAATTGTATTTTCAAATTAAATTAATGTTTCCAACTCGTCGCTCTATCAAGGAAAAAGTATGGAAGATAGAAAAGCAAAGTCGAGTGTAGACTTCTGAAAGAGGACACGGTGTTCCTGGAACTCTCAGCATCCTAGTCCATTTCAAGCTCGTCTTCATGGTTCAGTTAACTTTCTGCCAGCTCTTATTACGGGTCTGACGCTTTATCGGTCTCCTATAGCATCTTTGCCTCGAACCTTCGGTAACTCCTCTTACTCTTACCTTCTGATCCTTTCGAACCTTCTCGGACCTTTTTCTCCTGTTTCCTTCACTTTTCCAGACGATCTCGTGCTTCTTGGATCCCAAGAAACTTTCTTACGGAAAATAGGGATAATTTATTAATTTTCGATCTAGAATACTTGTATGACGTCTGGCCATTTACACTTTAGCCACGGTAGTTCCATTTTTATTAATCATCGTTCGGTATCCCATCGCTGTTCACTTTTGCGAATCATGATTCCTTTATAGACTACGGCGTTCTGCCAAGTATACTCGAAGCCAAGAAGAAAGAGGGAATAAAATAAAGAGGGGGATCGTTGCGAGAGGGTAAATTCATTCAACGAAACGAATTCGGTTTATTCGGCTAAACGATGGGAACTTGCGGTAAAAGGTTTCGAATTCTTCTTGTTCGCTCGGTGCCGAAGGGTAATGATTAATCGATAACTCCGTAGGTCGATTAAAATAGACCCCGAGGACAGGATTTCGGTGCGATGCGTGAGCGGAATGGTGATTTGGAAGGACGCCAAAATTCACCAGTTTTAGCTGCATGGGCAACAAAAGGCCTTGTGCACCGACCAGACTCATGGGGGAAAGATTGAAATAGGCAATTAGTTGATGCTACCAGAGCTTGGAAAATCGACTATACGCGTCACTTAGTCACAATCTGATACTTTCCTTTTTTTTTTTTTTTAATTTCCTATCCAACCGCGATTTGATCGTTGAGGAAAATCCGGTTTAATTATCTGGAATTTATAGTCTATAGTGATTTTCTAGGGAAATAGTCACCATTGATTTTCATAGTCATTAATTTTTCAGACTTCGAACCACGTATTATTTAAAGGAAATCAAATTGTTTTTTAAAAAATTCATAGGAGAATATCCTTTTTAAGTAGCAATCGATGAAATTCATCAATGAGTCATGAAAACAAATGACGCGAACCTTAGTTTTCAGTATTTTTCATGGAGGATGAAGTCAGCTACCAAGTCGTAGCCACGTGTTATGAAACACTCCATATAAATGTGTACGAGGATGGATATTGCTGACGGTTTCAACTTAAACCGTTCAGTCGTTTCTGCGAAACGAAACGGCTAACCGAGTGCATAAACTGCTGCGACGCACTAACGATTGCAAGTTTGTCATTCTGCCAGAAATTCGTCGTCCTTCGTTGCACCAAATATTGCACGTACATTTCCGGCGAGCTTCGGCGAAAGTAAATCTAGCCGGAAGTGGGCGATCATGCCAAGCCAAGGTGCTGCGAACGGACCTTTTTTAAATTAATGACGTCAATGTCTTAAAAAAAAAAAAAGAAATTGTAATTAATAAATTAGAACATAGGGTATTTGTTATCCTTTCGTTGATATCGTTACTGAAATTTTACTTATTTTCTTGTTTCACTGGAAGGTAGAAATGAGTAATAATTGCGCAGCATAAAAATAGTGATCTAATGGGCGTGGTTAACGTGAACAATTGCAAGGGAATGTGAAAGATGCGAGATTACGAAAGTTAAACTTACCGGTTCGTGATGTATCTCTTCCTAGAAATTCCTTGCAATGCGTTTGAAGTTGTCATCACCCGATGTCACGGTTCGTCGGCAAAAAGTCTATGGAATGTATCATTTGAACGGGGTTCGTTAGTGTATGAATTATATAGAAAGAATCCAAGAATGGAGTTCGAAGAAGTAGATTGATTAATACATAATACTTTAATATTAATATTAAAAATAATTTAGAAACAAATAGAGTTTTGAAAAATAACTGAGAGATATGAAAAATGAACAACTATCGCTTCAAATTTTCCCGCGTACAGGTGCGCGCGCAAGTGGTGGTCCGCCATAGGTCTATATATATGAGGCCCACTCCCCACTGCCGTCATTCTCCCCGGCTATGCCGACGGGGTAGGATAGGAACAGGGGATGGTATATTTCCCGGGGAAGCCCGATTTTATCGCAACAGTACTTGAAATGATAGATGATGTTGTAATGAAATATTGCCAGAACAATAAATAAAATTTGAAAATTATTATTCTTTTGCGAACGATGGTTTTGAAAGAAAGACAAACGTTTCGAATAAAGGCTAGAGGAAAGTTTGTTCGGACTAAAATCGGAATAAGGGCAAGATAACGAAAGAAGAGACGAGTTCCCCGCAATTTTGACGTCAGGCTGGCAATGTGCCATACCCTCCTGTGGCTCATCTCAGCGGCTAGTGAACGTGGGAGTGGAATTCTCTGATTCTCACGAGCCTTATTTTGGGATCGGCTCGTTCAGCCGCCCGGAAGCGGGACTTACAAATTTGGAGCGTTGGCCCATTTTTTTTTTTTTTTTTTCTTTAACGCCGTTTCACTGATCTGTGGCTCAACCGAATTTGCCGGCCAATTCTTGGAAACCGGTCTTTCCCGCCCCTTGCGATCGTTTCCCTCACCTTGGCTTCGACTTTTCCTCGAACCAGTTACTTTTTTTAAATGGATCCACGCTCCGTATCGTCAACTCGATATCGCGTGCTCGATCATAAACGTCGTGCAATTCGTAGAACTGTTGGGTCGAATCTGGATGCTGGATAGTCGTAAAGGGTACGAAATCATCGGAATGCTTGAACTAGTCGATGGAATCCGTGTAAAGGCGATCGCCGAGGAGCGAATCGAGACAAAATCGGTCTTCTCCCGATGGAAAAGAAAGAAGATATTCCCCGCGCGTCAGGATTTGCTCTGGAATCCCGTTCGGTAATTCATGGCGGCAAAATCCTGCGATCCGATGTCTCTTCCACGAAAAGGTACGTTCTTGGACGAAACCACGAGTTCCACAATTATAATGGCGGTGCTTTGTTCTTTGTTCTTCCATTTACACAGAATTGCAAAGCAAATTAATGTGGTGCTCGATCAATTAAAATGGTACTTGATCTAAATGAAAAAAATTATTCAAAAACTACCATTGGATGGATCAATGGTCGAGTCCAACAGCAACGAAAACTGGATCCTTGGAAGAAAAGAAGAAAGAAAAAAAAACCTGGAAAGAAAGGGAAGAAAGGTAAACGCGGGGTGCAGCATCAATCGCACGCGTCTGGTGAACCGTAGGGAACGAGAAATCGTGAAAGAGAGGCAAAAAATACATGGGGTTCCGCGCACAGGGAGAGAGGGATGAGAAAGATCTCGTCCATTCAACGGGCGGCACATACGATTTCCAATCGACAACCGCTTCCTCGAAACGGATCCCCCTTCTGCGAGATCCTAAACGACGGCACTGGAGACCGCAGCCTGGAATACTGGTTCTAACCGTGGCTCCATTCAAGTGTTCTTACAACCGTTGGCATCCTTCGGACTACTCGCCAAGAAACTCTTTGATATTCCGCTGATGCACCGATCCAGTTCCACCCCGTGTCTCGATAATACTCGGCTGGATAAAATAGAATCGGAATGAGGAAAGTCGCTCCTTCGGGGAATCTTGAAGCTGTATATTTCAAGAGAGAAGGATTCGATGTGGTAGACGAAGATAGAGCAAAGAATAGTAAAAGTGAGGAAATTTGAAAAATTTGAAAAATTACAACTGAACCAGAAGGGTATAATAAATTATCTCCGAGAAAGGAAAATGAAAATGAAAATAAAAATAAAAATAAAAAAGGAAGAACGTTACTTTATGCTCGTAAATATAGGCGGGGCCATGTGGATGAAGGCGAAATGTTGTGCTGTCGGGTTGCCAAGAAGGCCGTACGAGGAAGAAAGGGTGAGAGAGCCGGTGGTTAGGCCAGGCAAGGATGGTAGAAGGGGGCCTGCTCACAGGCCCCACTTCTTCCTCGAAGGAGTTCCTTCAGGTCCCACATTACATGGACATAAAAGGCAACCCCGACACGAAAACCGTCTCTCTGACACATTGACACAGCCTCTGAACCAACTATACCTTCCCTCCTACCTTTCTCGAGAGATTCTCTTTTTCCGACGATCCTGCCCGGAATCATCCACTCCGTTCTTCGTTTCCGTTCGGCCTCCTGTCCGATTCAATATCGCTCTTATCCAAAGATCTCTGTCTGCCCGATGGGTTTTTGCGAAGGACAAACACCGACGTACCTTCGCCCTTCGGTAATAAGGATCAGAGGGTTTTTTCAAGGAGTAACCTCGGTCGATAGGTGGAAAAAATAAATTTTCGTTATGTTACAAAAGTATTGTAATCTCTTTGAATTTCACGCCTCGTGAAAAGTTTTTTTCAAATTAACGTTCCACTTCGTCATCTTCGTCTGCGGCGATATATCGAGAGTCTGTACCGCGTTAGTGTGCGTATCGATGTATACGTGATCGGTTGAGAACCGGCACCAGAAAGAGAAAGAAAAGGACGAAGAAAGGAAGGCAGGTGAGGCAAGGTGAGATACGAGGTTGGCCGGTCTGCGAGGTTTAATCACCTAACGAATAAAAAGCATGAATGGACGCTAGCACGACGCCGTACATTATCTTGCCTCCTTGTCTCTTTATTATTATTCTCCTGGCCCTTTTTATCATCCCTTCTTTTACCGGACGCCGCTTCTCTCCAATGCCCTCTCTTTCTTCTTCTTCTTCTTCTTCTTCTATCATACTTTGCGAACGTATTATCTTCCTCTCTCTTTCCCTTGTCCCCTCGTTTCAATATCCCGCTTCTTCCAAAGGAAGATCCGCCATAGCGAGGGAGACACGATCCTGTACTGACGAGATCGTGTAACCTGTTCCTACTTACGTGTGTACACTCACGGTCAAATCAGGATTCCCTAGGGAAAATGGCGATATAGGGGAAGCAAGAATTCTCGAAATCTTAAATTTAATATTTAAAGTAATTTAGGAAAAAAATAATATAATTTTTAATTATTAATTATTATACAATTTAGTATGTAACTAAGAAGTATGAATAATAGATAAACATCGATTTGAATTTTCCCGCGTAAACGCTTACACCCACATGATAGGGCCAGGCCCCTATATATATGCGGCTCCATTTGCTGCACTGTCATTTCCCTCGGGGATGCCTACGGGGAAGGGTGAGAACCCGGGCATCGTCATTTTTCCTGGAGAAACCTGATTTGATTCCGAGTGTACAGCTATAGTTGAACTTCGAAACTCTAGAAAATCCATTCCCATAGATTTTTATCTGGCTATACTGGAGAATAATTTCAAACTCCTAAACTAGATTGAAATCAAAATGTTCATTCAATTGTAATTTATCTGTAAGCATGGTTACTTACCGTATCCTAGAAAATGCATTACTATAAATTCTGAAGGAAGAAAATTACACGTCTTGGGGTAAGAATAAATTATAAGTTGAACACGGTATCGATCCAATAAGCACGGAATTAATCAATCTCGGCATGTATTATTTATTAATTTTGCACAATATCCGTTGGCAGGGAAAAAGACGAATGAATGAAAAGCAATTTCACCCACGCGGTATGATAAAGAACAAAGCAGCAACGCGATATCAATTATCGCGTCCGGTTCGTTGCTTTTTATTTCGGTTCCTCTCAATGACTGGCTGTGAGTTGGAATACGGGAATCAGAAATACGTAATCAAAAGTACAATAGTAGAATGTATTATCAGTTAGTGCTTAATAAAGCAAGTTCGCCATTACCGTTTATGCAAGGGGGCATATAAATTGCATTCTCTTTTTAAATTATTAAAAAATATTTTAGAGACGCTTGAATTTCTATAGGAACTCGTCACCTATATAAAATTAGTGATTCTCTTTAACAAATTTCCAAGACTAATATTTCAAAGAAGGAAAGAAAAAATACAGAGGAATAAGGCTTAAGGCTCCCTTGTCTCTTAGCTGATTTTCTATTCCTGGTAAGACGAACGTTCCTTCGTCTCGGTAGAAATCGCTCGACAAAGAGAGGCCGTCCGTCTCATCAGAGTCTAGAAGGCAGGTAGATTCCCGGAAAAATTTCAAGATTTTTCCGGGATACACTTCCCGTAAAGGCCGGGCTTAGAGAGGAGAGGTCTTTGTCTTGGCATGGCATCTGCGAAGCGAACCGAACAACCCGCTTTGCGTCCCAAGAAAACGAAGGTTCGCTGCAGGTATATAACGGAGAGTAGGAAGAATAAAAGAAGGGTTTGATGGCAGAACACAGGGGGAGAAGAGTGCCGAGAGAACCCGGCGTCCCTTCTGACCCGATCGCATAATTTACTGTTCGAATCCCTGCACAGTGGACCCAGCAACCCCAACCGTTGTTTCAACAGATTTTTAAGAAAATCAACAATTTCATAAACATTGATCCACTGTGTACCTACTAATTGCAAATGATAAAAAGTGATTGTAGTTGAAATCGAATCTTATCAGCTTATAGATGGATTATTATTCTCTGCCAAATTACGATGAGTCACAGGCCTTCCAGTCAAGATAACCGAAAGTGATATTGTTCCACGATATTAAATCCTACACCATTATCATTGATAAATACCGTTGCATAAATACTTAAGAAGTGGATTAGATTGGGGAATGAATTTTGCAGTAATTCTTTTTTAGAAATTATTATCCATTCCGAGGATACACAACGAAGAAGAAAAAACACTCGAAAGTTTGTCGACGAATTCGTATTCCTCTTATAGAGATAACGCGAGAAGCGTTCGTAGATCTGGATGCTGGTGAAATATTCAAAGCAACATCCTACGTCTCCTATTTTCGTCCTGGCATCGTTCTACGTTTCTTCCGAGGAATCCGTTGAACCCCGTTCGTTCTCGACACTCGCCAGCAGGATAATTGGACAGCGAAATGACATGCGACAGGTGACACCGAACCCGTAATTGATTGGTATAATTGTTCGAAAAGCAGGATAAAAATCGAACGGATTCGAAAAAGCGTGGATATCTATAAATCGATTCGTTTTTACGCGATGGGTCAATAACTTTCCTCACCATCGTCGAAGTTTATTTCTATTACCTATCATCGCGAATAGCTAATAGAAATTTCGATGATCGTTTATTACCGCTGCGTAGACGGATAGAAGAAATTTGCGATCCGCGCTGATTTAATCCAGCTACCGAGATACGCACGAGTTTTCTGAGAAAAACAAATCAACAAAAAACAGTAACAACCAGTGATTTGCGTCACCGTCGTTAACGACTGGATGACGATTCCTAGTGTGATGAAAAAGTGCATAGCATTGCACACCATTCGAGTAAACGTCGAGAACGTAACTAAATATGGTGTAATAGGCTACGAGATAGCTGATAAGGCAAAGGAGTCACATCGTTATCAGTGAACAATGAAAACAGTTTTTAGAGACGTACAGAAGTTTAATACCTCGTAAACTTCGTAAATGACTTTTTGGTATTTTGAAATTGCCCCTTCACGTCTTATGAGGTCTTATGCCCGAGCTAAAGGTGTCGACAGCCTAATAGTAGTTGTGCAATTGAAAAGATTGCGGAGTCAAAGATCGTCGTTAATGACGATGTTGTCGATACGAGGTTAAATAATAGAATAAGAAGAAAATGAAAGGTGGGTGCAGATAACGCTAGATATCAATGGAGAACAAATAGGCTCGAGGGATATCTGTGTGCCAAACGACAAGCTTATCTGCACATCTCTGCTTATCTGGAGATGTAACGGTTTGCCTGTATTCATTGTTTTCCTTCGTAAGCCTCCAGTCTTCAAAAATGATTGATAAAGTGCAAAAGTGAAAAGTACACACGGGTTGATGTACTTGATCATCTGGGATTAAAAATAGGAGTAACATTAGGCTACGTTTTCAATAAATACCAATACACCAAGCGTTACGATGGGATTCTTAATTATAATACTGTTCATTTGCTAATTAGATTAGAATCAGTTAATAATCAAAGGATATTTTTTGAATATTGTAATTGTATTTGAAGAATTCATTACAAATTTGAATTAAGATATAAATTATTTTTAAAATAATTATTAACATATGGTGTTCTATCATGGCGCTAAATTAAATAGCTCAAATAAACAAGGAGATGCGATTAAGTTCAGATAAGACGATCATTTTTTTGCAACAATAAAATTCTTCGAAATACAATATCTGGCTCCAAAGAAATCACGCGTTATCTTTCAAGTGCTAAAACTCGAATTAATATCTTTGTTGACTCATAAAATATGTATAACTCGAGTCGAAATTTTCTTCATACGTGACGACTAATTAAAGCACTTGTTAATCAAAAGTTGGAAAAAGTGTAGCTCAACGCAAACATACGTATAGACATATGTATCTCGAGTGTCTGTATTTCTGTCATCGTTTCTGAAGTTTCGCAACACGATAACCCATCTGCGTGACAAATGCTCGTCATCGTTCTGCTGAATCCTCTTCTCGGCCTTAACGCTTTTATGGACTCTCTAAAAATCTGTGAAAACGATTTAAAACCACCAATACACTAAATAGGAAATTTATTATAAATGCTATATAACATTACGTTAAATAACAAATGCAATAAGTTTTCTGTTATTCATCAAGTATCGGTAAGGATCACAGAAAATTATTTTACTTGACACTATTATTTTCCTTGTTTTATTATCTTAATTTTCATATAGACAATTTTTTTTATTATCAATTTCTATTTGTTTTGTTACGTGATATAGACGTAGCTTAGCAAGTTTTATAAATTTACCGTATAACCTGTTACGTTATTTTGGTGTGAATGCGGCTTTACGATAGTCGCCATTCAAATTTCCCGCCATGTAACAGGTGCAGCGTGAACTAACCGACGTTCAGCTGCGATCGAGACGAATTTTAACGCGTACCTTTTTATACGCTTAAATCATCCAGTTGTTGACTTTCATGGAATTCATTCGATAATAGAGGCGTGAGATTTGTGTGCAATACGTCGTATCGTATCGAAGGTTCTTTGCGAATTCAACGAGTGTTGTTGATTCGAACGAGACTGCACGATCGCTTGTGTGTGCGTTCACGGCGTGACTCACCGAACGCATGAACGAGCAAAATATTCGGTACGTAGGCACTCGAATTGGAAGGAAAAAGAGGGGAAAAAAGAAAGAAGAAAATAAGTGCTGGAAACGTGATTCACGGAGCGTATAATCAAAAATTGTCAGAGACATCGAGAATGCGTACGGCAAATAAAAATACGCGCGGTGCGTGCCGCCATTTTTACCAGGGTTCTCATCATTTTCGGGACAATCGTCTTAGAATTTACAAGTCAAGTAATTCCAAGTAACAATAACATATTACTCAACGCTCATAGTAAACATATTATTGAATATTCATAATTTTTCGCGAGTCTTAATGTTCGCAACACGTATGAGCACTTTAAAACCGAATAAATACATTTGTAAAATCGTGTATTTAAAAATATATGTACAGGAAATTTCGACGTTATTGATGACCATTCGATAAATACGTACTTGACGCGGTGCGGATTTACTCGTGAAATTTCAGATCAAAATCGGTTCACTG